CCACCTTTCTCATCATTGTGCTTGCCATGGGTATTGTAAATTGCGCAAAGTTTTTGGAATGTCAGCATGATGTCTTCCGTGTATATGGACTTTTGCTGTTTTTCGCGGCGATACTTCTTGTTGCCACATCAATCACCTACCTCATCAGCTTTTTCAAGGACAAATTATGGATAAGCCTGCTATCTCTCATACTGGGAATCCTCGGTGTGCTGTGCAACCTCGCAGGAACTCTTTTGTTTCCCTTGATGGAGCCTGGTTTTTGGGTACAATGGCTTCCAGCGGTCGCAATGACGATCACACTGTCATTCGTTATTAGTGTATCACTGTCCTTTTCGCAAAAAAGTACCTAGGTTATTGTCATAAAAGGCTTCTTGCTCACTGTAATGCCTTTTTTCCTAATTTAAATAAACATGTTTTGCTTCGTTTTCGAATATTTCAGACGTGGAGATGTGCTCAATTGATACATCTGCGGTGCGGACACACTAGGTTTCTCTGTATTTGTCTGATTGGCGAACAATCCGCATGCATGTGCCTCAAAGTGCCCATGAATATTCAATAAATCAAGATACCAAAGAAGGTAATGTCTAGGAGTATGTACTGTGTGTAAACTTGACTGTCTTCATAGCAAGGTTTCGTACAAGTTACCTTTCAGTTTACCCTGTAAACAATAACTGCAGTCGAGTTGAATTAAGCGATTTAACACGTTGTTAGGTGTAGACGTATTTACACGGCTCTAAGTAATTGCAAAATGGTGCCATTGAAATGTCCGCCACGACCAGTGGCACGAATTTGGAAGTATGGGGATAACCGAAGCTCATTTGACTGGTGGGATCTTGCTGCGGTTCACAAGCAAGGCCGTGAACTCGAAAAATTGAGCCATCATATGTAGTGCGGCAACAGCTTCCACTGCACGGTCATGCAGAAAAAGATAAACGCGTCAGCACATCCACAAGACCTCGTCCAGAGAGCTGTAAATATCGCGGCCAAATAGTGAGCACACGCCTAATTGAGCCCACCCACACCTGGCTTGATTAAACGCGTGAAATCCGGTGATTTGTGTAATCACCAGTGGCGTGTACGTGGGTTTACTAAGTCACAGCGCACTGAAACTTGCACTGCTGTTGATGGATTCGGCCGTTGTGGCTTTCTTGAAGATATTCTTGTTTTGGAATGGCTGACACGATGCTAAGCTCAGGCGACGACTTTACCTTTCGACTTCAGAGTAAGTGGATCTGCATTACTGAGGATAAGGACCACTCAACTGATCAATATCTCCGATCCAGCAAAGGAAGCGTCAACTGCTGTTTTGTGTCCGTCAACTTCTGTAGAAAGCACGAGCAAAAATAAGACTGTCATTTCCGTCAGTAATTGTCTGTGATACACTTGGTAGAAGTGACAAATTTGTGTCCCATTCTGGACAAATCATGCGCATTTACATCAGGTTTGCAATGGTGATTCGAGGCATGAATCCCTACACTAAATCACCACGATATTTCGCTTTGTGTCATCATCATGCTCATAGCCACAAAGATGAAGAATTAGTGGCGACTGCGTGGGTGCAACTCTGGTTCCGCTGAATGGCAGGACGAACAGTTATTTGCAGTCGCGATTTCTGGTGTGTTCTGCGTAGAATGTCACAATGCCCATGAGCTCTGTCAGCTTTCCCTAACCATCCATAAATAGGGCAGATTTAGCATGTGGGAGTTAGTTCCTACAATCTTTTGAGTTTGATTTTGCTTTGAATAAATATAGTTTTTAAAAATCTTGATTAAGCCATTAGAGCAGCTGCTCACGCCTCTACATTAGTTGAATTTCACGCAATAAAATCAAGTCAGTCTTAAGGTTTATATAAAATGTAGCATTTTACGACTTGTTAGGCAGATGGGAAATATGGCTGCGCGATAACACCTTAAGGCACCTTTACTAGATGCAATGCACTATCTAGTGAATGCAATGTCTGAGGGAACACGTTTGTCATAGTTTATGATTTGTGTGACCGGTGTTGTGCTTTCCATGTTGTTGTGTTGTGCATTTTACATCTCAAATAGAATGCAATACCAAAACTGTTGAGTCTGCATTCTCCTAAACAGTGTTACGCACCAAGTAAGTATCACCAAACATCAAATAACGGTTAAACTTTGTCTTTTTTTTATTTCCGCTGTGCAACTGCCCAAGGCGTCTTCCAAGTTCATCGACTTTTGTTGTGCTTTGTATCACTATGTATGGAATCATGGTAGATTCAAACCAGGCACTTTTATTAATCAGTGGGAATGATGCAAAGCAAGACCGAGTCCCTTCCAAGTGAATGCGAATGAGCCATGACGAATTTGTGAGCTAGAGTTTTGCGTTACCACAATATTTTGCGCAGTTCTCTTTCTAATAGGAAAAATTTATTGTTGTTCAAGCAGTAGTATTGATGATTGGTGAGTTAAGTCACATCATGATGAATGCTTTCATTGATTTGTGCTTCAGCAGGAGTTGAGTGGTACCCATCACCCAATCATCAGGCTATGTGCACGTCTCCACACACACACGAAGGCCACATCTCAGCGACTTTAAAAGGCACGCAAGTAGGGCATGAGGGCGTGAACACAAAGCAGATACCAAATGAACACAGCCAAGTTGGTGAATTTGGTTGCAGTGGCAACTGCCGTCACCTTTCTCATCATTGTGCTTGCCATCGGGACAGGTATTTGCCGAAACATTTTGGAATGTGATAATAAGGCGATGCGAATTTATGGCATTCTGCTGCTTGTCGCGGCGATTTTTCTTGTTGCCACAACAATCACCTACTTCGTCAGCTTTTTCAAGAACCCCGTCTGGCTTCGCATTGCATACTTGGTAACCGCCACCTTTGGTTTGCTGTTCTGCTTCGCTGGGACCCTTGTGTTGCCGTATATGGAGGCCGCTTTGTGGGGTCAGTGGTTGGCAACCGTGGCAGCGACGCTCGCACTCACATTTGCCATTAGTGTGTCGATTTCCCTCTCGCACAAAAGCAAATAGACAATCTTGTAAACCTCTTGCCTTCTTTTTACTAGGCGCTATCTTTCTTCTTAAATAAAAGACCTTTGAATTTAACCATTTCTTCTATATTGGAAGCTCAGTTTATTTCGGAAACTTGATCGGCCTTAGGACGCATCTGGTTTGTCCAAGTCAAAACACATTTTATTGCTTAAGTATGCTGATTAATATATGAGTATATTGTTGATTAGTGTTCAAAACACCTCAATTTGTGTCGAATAAATGGCAATCTGAGTGACAGTAAACCAAATAGCCAAATTCACACGAATGATCTGACATCTTATTCGGATAAATCTGTTACTGATTGTACCTACTTTTACTCGTGCAATTAGAACAGGTCGCATCTAATTGATGTAATAAATTTAACCATATTACAGTAAAACGACGCGACATTTATCAAGGATTTCAAATTTTAGGGGTATAAGTAATTCATAGCGTTGGTCGAAATAGCGTTTTTTTCCACTTTGATATACTCCACACACGCAGTCATATCGCAGTTGAAAAGAGTAATCAATTTTTCGGCTTATGTGTGTTCTAAGACGAATCGCTAGCCGGTTTCAAATTGGAACCGCTGAAAGAATCGAAACGAAAATATCTTTTATAGCTGGATAAAATTAAATCCACTTAGGTTTCATTACATAAGATCTCTAAAATTGATTCACGTTACCTGTGTCGGCATTCACCCTAACAATCGGATCACTAGTAACTGTGTTGCAGAGGTGGTTTTTCGATGCACAGAGATCAAATTCGGTTGCCAGAACTTTATGAAGAGGGATATGTTGGGAAAATCATCCACTTCGTGTTGCGCATTGGCTTTGTGTGGTTCTGGTCTAAATTGTTTTGACAGGTTTTTTGAATGACTTGATGCTCTGCTTGTGAATTGTGAATACACTTGCAACAAGCACACATGGGTTAGACATGTTTCACTGGCCTTATTTCTGAGTATACTGACCTTGGCGCACACACTGGCCTTCGCTGGTCACACCTGACTTGACTCAACGGTTGAAATCGGATGACGCCAGTGTGGGTACACGATGGCACAACTCACCGAACCCTGCAATACCGGTGCTGGAGGCGGCAGTTGGGGATTTCTTGCGCATATGCTTAGGTTAGAATGGCTGACTCGATTCCTGGCTCAACCGACAATTTTACCCTTTACCTCATGAGTTAGTGGATCTGCATTAGTGAGAACGAGGACCACTCAACTGACCAATATCTTCGATCCAGCAAAAGAAGCATCAACTTCTGTTTCGTGTCCGTCAACTTCTTGTCGAAAGCACGGGCAAAAATGAAACTGTCAAATCTGTCAGTAATTGGCTGTGATACACTTGGCAGAAGTGACAAATTCGTGTCCCATTCTGGACAAATCATGCGCATTTACATCAGCTTTGCAATGGTGATTCGAGGCATGAATCCCTACACTAAATCACCACGATATTTCGCTTTATATCATCATCACGCTCATAGCCACAAAGATGACGAATTGGTGGCGACTGGGTGGGGGCAACTTTGGTCCTGCTGAATGGCTGGACGAACAGTTATTTGCAGTCGCGATTTCTGGTGTGTTCTGCGTAGAATGTCACAATGCCCATGAGCTCTGACAGGTTTCCCTAACCATCCATTAATAGGGCAGATTTGGCATGTGGGAGTTAGTTCCTACAATCTTTTGAGTTTGATTTTGCTTTGAATAAATATAGTTTTTAAAAATCTTGATTAAGCCATTAGAGAAGCTGCTCACGCCTCTACATTAGTTGAATTTTACGCAATAAAATCAAGTCAGTCTTAAGGTTTATATAAAATGTAGCATTTTACGACTTGTTAGGCAGATGGAAAATACGATTGCACGATAACACCTTGCAATGCCTGTTTCAAAGTTTATGATTTGTGTGATCCTGTGTTGATGTAATCAATTTAATCAGAATACGGTGATATCGATAAGAAATTTATCAAATAGTGCTAATTCTGGGGGTGTCAGTAATTCATAGCGTGAATCGAATTAACGTTTCTCTTTAAATGGAAGACTTGAATTTAAAACACATTTTTTTAAATTAGCAGTTTACATATTTTGGAAGCATGATAGTCATTAAGATCTGACCTCTTCGTCCAAGTCAAAGCATATTTTGTTTTTAAAATAATTTTTCTTGCTAAACAGATCTGAATATTCGATTGATTAGCGTTCAATACGCCTTAATGTGCGTCCAATAAATTGTAATCTGAATAACAGTAAGCTATACAGGCAAATTTGCATCTTATTCGGATTAATCTTTTAGTGATTGCATCTAATTTTACCCGTGGAGAACAAGCAAGACTCTGGTCGCATCTAATTGATGCAATCGATGCAAACAGAATACAATAAAAACTATAAGACGTCTATCAAATACTGCTAATTCTATGGGGGTCAGTAAATCATAGCGTGAATCGAAATAACGTTTCCTTCCATTTTCATGTATTCTGCTCATGCAATCACATCGGAATTTGAAAGAATGATCAATTTATCCTTCGGATCTTAGTTAATATCTTGTACTGACTGCTTCACATATGTAGCCATGGTATTATTAGAGTGCGTGTGAGAATCAAATGCCGCCAAGCTCTGTCCAGTAAATGTTGAATTCAAATTGCATTCTCAGTGGGATGGGCTGTCGAAATTAGCAACAATTAAAATCTGCTGGCTTTACTTAGCATTCGTTCTCCCAAAATATCAGGCATTGACCTTCAAAAAGTACACAAATGAAAATATTGCATTACAGAATAGGTTCTTTTGTTCAGCACTGTAGTTTTGAAACTGCCCTTAGCGTCGCCTTCGAAACCTACAAATAGACAGTAACAATGGCTGCCAACACGCTTGACTAATTTGCAGTTTCTGCTGTGATGGGTAAAGTGGGACTAAAAAACGGTGAGAGTTTGTATCATTTCCATCCACGCTACCGAAATATCTAAGTTCGTGGTTGACGCGTCTTTATATTGCCCTTGCGGATTAGCTTGTTTTGCACGTTTTACACTTTATTCGTTAGTGTTAAAGTAAATCCATCAGTTTACACCGTGCAGAACGCGACAGTCTTTCGCAACATGCTAGCAACCAGAACAGATTGACCATTTTGGACCAAACGCGTCCACCCTTCTGTTTCCGATTTGCATTAAATGCAGGCTTCGCATCCGCCTCTGTCTCTAGTTGGCAGCTGGTCTTCCTCATTGGGCATTAAACCAAAGAGAGGATTGGCTGAGCTCGTGGCAAGATCCAACATGGCTGCGACTCATGTTGTCATTGCTAGATCAAAGAATCTGTTAGACACCACTTACAGCTTCAAGGATGGTTACGAAAGTCGAACAGGATTTCATAATTACTGCAGAAAGCAGACGACCTACAAGATGACGTCGCTCCAGCCATGAAGGTGAAATGTCGCGCCGAAAGTTGAAGCACGCGAGACAAATGCCAAATTAGGGCAACAGTCAAGTACAATAATAAATAGCTTGACTGCATGAAAATGAAAATTTTTGACCAGTCTATATTTACTTACCTAATTTAGATGCAAATTGGCGTTGGTCAACTTCACAGCTGTTTGCACCGGAGATGTTGAGTTAATTTTAACACAGGTTGGAGTTGCAAATTCTTGTCTATTCACAACCGATTGATAAAACATTCGACAGCTATTAAGATTAAACAAGGTCGTTGAGGCTATTCTCGAAATTTTAAGCAAATTCCTTAAATTCCATTTGGTTGTGTGTAAGCGTGTGGCGAATCATATTTCAGAATAGTTTTAAACAGATTGGTTGGGCGAAAATCGATGAGATAATAGTATTAGCATATTGCCTAATGCAGTGTGCAGAATTGATCTTGTCGGCTAACTTACACGACTTTAGCAGTTTGTTGTCACCAGGTTCAAGTTATCCAAGCATCTCACATGTTCTAATCTGTTCATACGGTGAATGCTTATTTTAATGTGACTTAAACAGCCGGAAGGCGGTGACTGCACAAGACCGCCGTGGTCTTTCCAACCTGCAGAGCCGGTCGATATTCAATTACACATTCTCCTATAAAAAGACCTGGGTTCACTTGGCGCGTTAATACGGACAAGCTTGTTCCACGATATCGTCATATTAGGAATCAGCGAGATAAGTCGGATGATTAAAACGGGTGGCTGGGAAGGTGCAGGCACAAGAGTGAATGAGCAGACGGTCCGGCATAACTGACTGGCTGTGAGAAGGACTTGAATCAACAGAATTCAGCCCAAGGCCTGAGAATGTCGTACTTTGCAATTGGCCTGAACCGGAAAATTTCATGGATCCTGATTTCCCCCTGTTGTGCACTTAGCTGTGATAAAATCTTGATCAGGGCTTTCATTTGCCACAGATCAACACTACTTGGCTGTCAGTAAAAGGGGGTTGTAAAGACGCCTTCTGTCTAGTATGGATTTGCTTGTTCATTCAACTTGATCAGTAGACTCCAACATTGTTGATGCAAGTGGCAGGAGGGTAAATCACAAACTCATTTTGACGTGTTTTGATGACTACGTAGGGGGTTAAGTAACTTTATGACTCAGACTAACTTTCTCAACGTTAATGCACGGCACGATATGATTGGACAATTTGATAATATGATCTGGACCTAAATCTGTGCGTGTTTTCTACCAATGTCGGCTGCCCTCTTATTCAAACAGTGCACGGCTACTCTTTTATGCCTTCCCTTGTGATATTGTATTTCTAAAGTAATATCTACATTCACACTTAAAAATTCCATTAGAGTTTGTACTACGTAATAAGGGGCGCAAAAAGCAGGCATAAGGTGCGCATAATTACGCCACCTTACACAGCTTGATTGTAACAGGAAAAATCAATTACATGAAGCCTAGCCTGTTGTCCTTCCAACGAAATTGGGGAGTCATCTTCGGCATTAGGTGAATATTCTGTTATTTCGGAGAATGTTTAATGCTTTATAGCTAATTTCGGCCAATTAATTAGCAGCGTCTTGATGCATCAAAAGTTCGGATTTATGGTGCTGCTGAAGCCCAGTAAGATGAAAATTCAACCTGCGCCAACTTATTAAACACTACGCTATTGCATGCTTATTCGCTACTGTTCTCTTCATGAATATTAATATTTAAACTTATATTAAATTCTTTAACGATAGCTTAAAGTGATCATGGATTATTCCCTAAATTCCTTCGGAAAAACGACTAAGGATTAATGAGTGCCGACTGCGTAAATACAACGACTTTCTTGCCTTTAAGTCGTCGATGACTACAGGAGAGACTCGTATGTTAAAGGATAATAAAAAATATTCTGATCACTTCGAAAAGTACAGGTATCTAAATGGTAAGATGCGTGGTATAAGCAACATGGATCCTAATCGCTTGTACTTGCATAAGTAAACGCGCTGTGTGGAAAGAGGGGTCACCGAGCGTAAATATGTGGCGTCAGTATAAAAACAGCTCGAAAGAATATTAAATACGGGGTATTAAATTAAAGATGGCCTATGATAAAAAATCGAGATCAACTGGAGGACATAGTTTCAAAAAGCTACCAAATTGCTAGGTTCAAAGTTTTTGATTTCTGCACCAAGGACTTGACACAGATGGCAAAATAGATGTTTTACCACACTAGTAAAAAAAAAATTTGTAAACAATAAAAATGTTGCTTGTAAATAAATAACAACGATTTTTAAAAAGTTTTTTTACTATAAATGAGAGGAGCACATCATCGTGAATTCTAGTAAAAAAAATTCGTTAGAGATAATCAAAATTGTCATAAACTTTCAAAGAAAGTTAAATAAGAGAAGATTTATTCTGCCGGTTTCAGCTAAACAAATGAATTAAAGATCGAAAAAATCACATTCAATAACTGGTGACGAATGATTAATATTTGTAAGTATTTAAACATTGACCACCGTTACAGTCTGACATGTTTGGATAATGACCCGAAAATAATTATATGACACTTGTGTGTGTGCCTTCAATGAACTTAAAAATCCAATGATTTTTAATATGTGCGAATCACAAAAAATCTAAAGTAGACTTTTGGTTGACTTACAAAGCCTTTAACGGATCACAAAATTATTTTTAAATATGTAAATATAACAAAAGCCATGAAGATGATATCAAAACAATGCAATATAGTTATTTTCTTTTAATTAAAGTAAGTGTTTTAACGTGGCACTCCACGATCGCGTTGTGCAAAAACTGAAGGCTTCTTCATTTGCGATCTCTCTGATACCAAGTGCGTGCATGGTAACCCATTTGTATATTGTCATTAACAGTCATTGATATTTAAGCGTACACACCATGTGTTTTAACCGTTTGAATTTAACTTCGTAATTTGAAGGTATTATGTTCAATTGAGCGAAAGTCTATGTTGTCCATGAGAAAGTATCTTTTTTATTCGTCTAAATAAGTGTGATGCATGACATAGGCAACAATTGCTAACTTAACAAATCTTTGTGGACGTTATTTTTCATACGTGGGTTAGAATATTTGAAAAACATTTACTTCTTTCTTGGTTGGTTTATTTTCTCTTTTTCCTTTCATTTATTTTCTGTGCAGCGGTTTAAGAAATCTCGATTTGTTGTGTTAAAAAAATAGGTCACGTGGTGTTAGCTACATATGCTTTGTATATATAGTTTGCTGCATTGTTATAAGTATGTAATCTCCATTTATACGATAAGCTTTACTTACAAAACTAATTTTTGCACTTTTCACCTTATATTAATACTCGACTTACACGAAGTTGTATTTTTGTTATCCAATACCTGAGCACTTTCGTAAACACTTGCATTGTATAAAACCTAAATCGATGCCCATTGTATTTCGCACTGCCATTTTACATGTCTTTATGTCGCGTCGTTGTTTCGCTAAGTCATCTTTGTAAATAAACACTCAAGACCTTGTGTAACATTTGTTTGTGCTTTATAGGCAACATCTTTGTTTTACTCTATTCATTTTTGTAGAACCATCGTCCAATCTTGATTAAAATCGGTATGGTATGGGACCAGCCGCTGGAACGCCTTCCTTTATTGAGAAGCTTCTGCAAGTGGAATTTCTCGAGTAATTTAAGTGTTTTAACCCAATGACTGCTTGACTTCTACATATTTGAAGGTTCTAGTTTTGATGTCACCCTATGGGTACAAATAAAACAACATTTCTAACTTGGTTTTGATAGACATGCCCTCTCCACTTAGGCTTCTACGAACATCGAAACAGACATCACTTGACTTAAATGTATGCGTGTATGTAAGCACAGTGGTTGACAGCAGACTGAAAATCGGTCGTAGAAAGTTTAACACGGATTAATTGATATGTAGTTGTTTTGTCGAGGTTTTAAAGTTAGTTGGCGGATAACAGCCTAAGGCTTCCGCTGACCACTAACCTACCTAAACACGCCTTTGTCTATTCAGCCCCGATCCGTTCGTTGACTACAAGGCAGGCGAGGAAGTTAATGGCTTCAATTTGATAAACGAGGGCTTTCGTAAGCCCATCGTGGTGTCGCACAAGGTGGGACTCCGCATGAAAGTCCCGCCAGCAAACTTTTCCCTACGCGACGTCGTAGCGTACACGGACCCCTCAATCATCATTGACGTCATCGATGTACTCTACCAAACGGACATGCAACTGTCGCTTGGCGAGTTCGTCGATGAATTCTACGAGAAGCCACGCGAACGCCTCCTCAATGTCTTGAGTTTTGAGTATTCGCAAACCAGGTACGGTGAAATTATTGTCTGGTAGCCTGGTGCAGCGATGGTTTATAAGGTGGGTTGTTTAAACAGCAAAGTGTTATTATTTTGATAATGGCAACGTTTCGGCTGCTTGAATTGGGGCGTATTGATCGTAGTCTAATGCGTTTTCGTCAGGAAAGTTTAAACCGTTGCTCATTTCCACACGCTTAATTGCCCACCTCATTCCAGTTATTGCCTTGGCGCCCGCTTTTGAACCTTCCAAACCAAAGTTTGATTTTTGGAGTTCAGTTGCGATAATTGTGGGCGTTGCCTTCAGAACATGCTGTTGACCAAAGTCACGTACGGTCGGTAGTTTGCACACATTATTCACGGACTTGCCTCTGTGTACTATGGACAGGTCATGAGTAATGCGAATTCTGTCGATTGCTTGTGCTTTCTTAATCCTTCAATTGTTACTTTTATTGGCAACTGAACGTTTCTACCTTCCTGGTTGGTAAGGGCATGTGGCTGCACCTAACAACCAAATGTCTCCGATAGTTGTTATCTTGCATGCATAACCTCATTTTGTAATGTCACCCTGGGGCTACCTTGTCACACGATTTGCCCATCTTCAATCCATTGTTTTTTTTTAAATAAACGGGAGATTTAGAAGTTGTGTAGCTGGTCGCCGAACATAGTTTTCATACTCGTGCTCGTCAACTTCATTTTCCGAGCAGGCTGGCCAAGTTCATTCGACCGCCACATGTTGTGAAGGAATTAAGTCTTGTTGACAACTGCTGGGCCGAGCCGACAGATGAAGACGACGAATGTGGCACGGGTTCATCGGAAAGACCCAATGTTCAGAAGTACTGCCTCATGAGTATGGCCGGTTCTTACACAGATTTTCACATTGACTTTGGTGGCTCGTCCGTCTGGTATCACGTTCTCTGGGTAGGTACCTGATTTTATTACTAATACCGCCTAGTCTGTTTTAGCTTTCCGCAGTAGTAGAAATGGATTTTGTGCGCGTAGCTCACGTCCAATGCAAGAGACTTGAATTTGCCCTCACACCAGACTGCAAAATTTCCGAGTCAAACGTGGAACTAGTTGTTTTTTTATACCAAGTGAAAGCCAGACGCGTGTTTCGTTAGTATTTGTACTCTGAACGAAATCTGTGGTCTTTAGTTTTGCACTGGTGTTCGCTCTTTGCAGGGCGAGAAGATATTCTACGTGACGCCGCCCAGTAAGGACCACTTGGAGGCCTACTGGCGATGGAATGGCCTCCTTGACAATCGTCGCGTTTTCTTTCCCGACACCATCAACAAAATCGGTGAGTATATGGACACTTTGGAGGGCATATGCTGTTCCTGGTAGGCGTTCGAAGGAGCACAAGTCAACGAATATGCGTCGAGTTCTTGTCACTATGTGAACTGAGGAATAGTCTGCTCATGGCTGGTAATGTTCACTCACCAACCGATCGTCGTTCAAGCTCACGCAAAACATGTGTGTTGTGGGCCCCGGCATGTGGCCTTGAACCACGCCGGGGCCACGGAATTGACCCTGGCCCGATTACGCTTCCCTGATAACCACGATGAAGAAAAGGACCGGAGAGGACGTGGACACAACCGTTTACTTCAGAGCTCAACCTCGTTTTTTGTCGTTGTGCTGTGTGTGGGGTTTGCGCGTGTGTATTTATACCTCGGATGTGTGAGTCATACTTGTGCTAACATCGAGACCTAGGTGTGAGGATAATCCAAGATAAATACCCGTGTGAATGGGCGGGGAGTTGGGGATCCGCGCGGCTGGCGACATGCTGCGAAAAGGGGAACCCTGTGTCGGAGGTGGAGCGACCGGATTAAGGGGTGTGAATAAACAGCAATGGTTATAGCAGGGAGGTTTTGAAGTGGTCATGAATAGAGGAACGATCAAACAGTAGATTGAACGCCGTGGCCTTAATTCGTTGTTGTTTGTTTCCAAATACATTAGGATAGTGTAGAAAAACACAAAATTTACCCTTTTTTGCGAAGATACAATGATCTTAATTGCTAACCGAGTTGCTGAATCTTGTTACTATGCAAATATTATAATGAATCAAATGCAGTTAGTCCCTTCGTATTCTTAGAATACTGCTAATTACGCTTTTTTTCCAGAAACGAAGAAATTATCGGCCATGACAGCAATGTCCGTGGGGTTGCACTTTAATTGCGTAATCGTGTCAGCTGTTCAATCCGTCCACCAGCTAACACCTAAAATTGTCAAAAAGTGTACACAAACGTTCGCTTTGCAGATTCCTGGTTTCACATGGACAGCTCGCATTCTTCAGTTGGTGGCTTGCAGTTTTCGAATTCAAGTCGTTCTGTCACATGCCAGTCCATGGAGGACTGTGTTGTCCTCGCTTCAACGGGTCTCTCGCGTGGAGTTCACTACTGGGAGTTTGTGATCGATCGACTTGACCAGGGGGACCAACAAGGAGACTATGAATGAAGGGGGAGTTGAGGGGAAAAGGGGCACCCTGTGTCGGAGGTGGAGCGTCCGGATTAAGGGGTGTGACTGAACGCGATTCACAACATGTGTTTCCCTGTCCGTTGACAATTTGGGCTCTGAAATGCCGTCTGGTTGGCTACAGCAACAGCCATCCAAGTTTGTCTATTTCAGATGTGTGTATTTTTTTTCTTCTGTTAGATTCGCGAATTCCCGTGGCTCGTCTTCACCTGAAGGCCGGTGAAACTGTCCTGCTACCGGCGGGCTGGATTCACGCCGTCTACACTCCAACGGATAGCCTCGTGTTTGGAGGCAACTTCCTCACACAACTTAGCATTCCGCTTCAACTAGGGTGAGCTCTGAGAGTGTTTCATTTTCTACAAATCCCCTCATAGCTACCTGTTGGTGCTTTGTTTGCAAATTGCGCGTGTAAATTCGACAACTTGTTCTAGGTTTGCTCTCTTTTTTAGTGTTTACCACATGGAAGTGAAGCAGGGTACAAGCCAGCGCTTCCTCTTTCCTTTCTTTGAAAAGCTCCACTGGTACGCTGCGGACGTCATTCTCGGCAGATTGACAAGTAAGCACATTTTACCCCCACGGCTCGCCGCTACACAAATACTTACTGTAATATTGTAAGTAGCGTGTTTATTATCAATTTTGCTGAAATTCTCTGTCTTTGGAGTGTGAATGAAAATGATCAATTATTAAATGGTTTTCGCCCATTCAGACGATCTGTACGCTGGCCAGGAACCCCCAACCTACCTCCTCAAAGCAGCCCACGCCCTTCTCAGACCTCTCAGTCAATGGTTTCAACAGAGAAAAGTCGTAAGTGTGATTCCCTGCCTAGTAACAGTAAATTGTATCCACGGACACACACGCATGTTTCGTCCCAATAGCAAACATCCGAGTAGATTTAAACCGTCGATCGATTTGTCCTTTGCAGTTACCAAAAGGCCAGCGCAACTACTACCTGCCGGCCAGAACTTACCTCCAGTACGCGTGTCCCACACTGATTGGGAAACTTGAGGAGGTCGTTCAAGCGTTCCTCTCCAAACTCCACCCCACGTCGTCGTCATCAGGCCGGAGGCGTAGACGTAAGAGACCCCATCGTAGCCCCGTCCGAAGAGAATCACCCTCGTCTGGCCACACCTCGTCGACGAGTCCGCAGGTTTATGATCCCTGCGATCAGTAAGTGTGTTCTTTGGCCAATTATGTGTCTAAAGGTGCGCCTCATCAACCAAACCTCTGTTTAACGCGTCCTCTGGCTTGTCATTTACTGCGTGTGTTTGAACTTGCAATCCTATTGGTTGAACCGATAGGATTAGTCAATCAGCGTTTTTGATTGGTGCATTAATGAAACGCCTAAACCTGCTGGGTTTTTCGCCCAGGGATCGCGCCTCGTTGAATCCGCGGTCGGAGGACAACGCGGAGGCCGAGACGCCCTCGTCGATGTCGGAAGTGCTCCAAGCAGTGCCAGAATTGCGAAACAGCAGGCTGATTGGAGACCACTGTAAGTCGGCAACCTCTCAAGTCTTCACACAAACGATTGTTCAACTTCGTGCTGTAGTAGTACCTCTCACTATGGTGTCTTGCAGACGTCTTCTCCCTTCCGGAGTCGGGCGAAGAGAGCGGTGTCAGATCGTCGTCGCGAAAACGCCTACTCTCCCGGAGGCGTCTCCAGCCAACCCCCAAAGATCCCGATCCCACTTGGTGCGCCTCTCCCAGTAAGTCCGACACCGCCTCTGACTTGTTCATTTGAGCTGCTTTCTCGCATCTGGATCGTGTGCACAAACCACCAGTCATGCCGGATCACCGTAGGACCTTGCATGTTGGAATGTGACCTTTTGTGCATCGATGCTTAACGATGCACTAATAAAGTACACCTGGTACAAGGTGTGCGAGATTTGGCTAATTCGCTTAAATCACACCAGTTGACGTGGTTCCCGTGACATGTCAAACGTGCTCATTATCTCACAACTGCACCACCGTACAGGTAGTTGCTTTGTTTGGTTCACTGTCGATAAAGTTGTGTTTTAGCCTGGTAGGGCCTGATCTCCGTTCGGTTCGTGATCCACGCTGGAAGCGTTCGCTAGGTTGGGCTGTGTTGTCATGCCATGTTCCAGTGTGCGTGACTTTAAATGTTAATGTTCAAGCGAATAGTTTGTGCAGTCAATTGGGCTCGTTGTGTCGCACAAGCAAATTCTGTGAATTGCAATGTTCGTGTGCATGTGTGTGGGTGTGCGCCGTTTCATTTCATTCACCAGATCACCGTTCTCGCTACCGGAACTATCCGTGCTCGTCATTCTTCCCAAGGTGAAGTGGGTCGGTTGCGTGTCTATGTGTCGATCATAAATGTCCGTACAAAACTGTCAAGCAAAGTGCAGTCGCTCCTGCCTCTTTCAGAGACCTCAATCTCGCCTCCGTTGCTACCCTTGTAGTTTCAAAATTTTCCATAACCTAGTGGTTATATTTGTCATAATCTGAGGTTCAGATCATCGTCAGGGTAGCGTTCAATCACTAATCAATATCCCTGAAAACTTGACTTGTTCGTGCCTTTCCTCTGTCCGTTTGAAGGTACCCTCGGTAAGCGGAAGCGCCCCTCAACCAAGAAGCCGCACTTGAAGCAGGCCTTCGTGCAACCTCGGCACATGTCGTCAGACCCGTTTCGTGCCTCCTCGCACGCCATTCATCGCCACCAGCCCCCGTCGACCTCGGTAAGCCCTGTCGCCTCTCCAGTTGTTCCCCCGCAAAGTCTTGTCGCGAGGGCGAGATAGGTTCGGTGGTGAATTTGTTGATTTTTCAGTGGATTGGACACTCCTCACATGCACGATAACCGATTAAAGTGTGCTTTTTTTCTCATCGTTTTAGCGCGCCAATTTCCCAACCACCTCTTCGGCTGTCGCCGTGAAAACCAGCCGCAAGCCAGCGCCAGGTATGATGCTTTTATGCCATTGTATGCAACGCGGTTAGCCGCCGGCTTCATTCTCCCGTCAATGCCAAGTTTTTTCGCTGGTTAATACTTTTCTACCGGCCGTCTCGCGCCGTTCTCTTTCTCTTGATTAAAAGTTGAGGGGCTTAATGCGCTTCCCTAGTCACCAGCGCCCTTTTATATCCACCTTCAGCCTAAGCAAAGGCTCGAATTTGTTAAACCATGAGGTGATGAAATTCCCTTCTCGTGGAATCCAGATTCTGGGTGATCTCTTCCATGCCTGTAGGCGCCGCAGATTATCTTTATCTCGAGTTCCCTTCTTGTATGTATGGGAGCAGTGCGATATACGCAACAAGTGTGCTAGCTTTACTGTCAAACAACGAGCAATTTAGCACGAAAGCTCCTCTGAAGTGGTAGAAAGTGTTTCTGCAAATCCCCTCTGTAGTGGCCCTTAAAAAGCCTTCCTCTTGATCCGCAAACGTCGAAACGATTGTCGAGAATTGCGCTCCAGTGCCACTTGCGGCGCGTCTATTCGATTAGTTGCTTGTTTTTTTGTGAAACCGCTGACATTTCTTTGCTTCATTGGTTTTTTGACTTGGGTTGTACTCCTGGGTTCTGTACCTTGGTGACTTTTGAATGACTCTTCAATGGTTCTTGCATTCTTCTGAATTCCAGGTGCATAATTTATTGCCTTGACGTGCTTTCAGACGGTTGACCGAGATGTCAAAACCTCGGGGTAATAGTACAACCTCGCCTCTGGTTATCCTTTAAAACTTATCCATCGATTTTAATCGATATTGGAACGAGTCATTTGGCTTTGATTTACCCGTAATCTGATGTCTGTCGGTGCTAACGCCGCTTTTAAGTTTTTGTCAAATCTTTTTTTTTTAATGTAACCTATCGGTGACTTTTATCCTAATGAAGTAGCTACTCGGCCAGTGTTGTGATTGGTCGTCCGTGTTGCAGGACGGCGTGGTTAGTTTGTGGCAAGCATGCGTCCTACATGTAAAATTGCCCAACTGCACCCAAGACGAGCTAGAGTATAGCAATTAGGACCCGTTACTGCGTCACACAGTTGAGACAGCGTTGGAAGCGGTGATTTTAAGATGGAAACTTGGCATCTGATGTTATCACTACCCTGACCAGCGGAATTGTCATTCGTTCTGGCATTTCTTTTTTATTCAAGCAACCCTTGAAATTAGACGCCTTAATTCTGATCTAATTCCGTCAATCGTGCTACTCGCAACCGCGTTCTGTGATTGCTAGTGATGACAGTGGGAGAAATCGTACCAGTGCCTGCGTGTGCGGGTTCATCGTGTTGAGATGTCACCTGCGCTCAGTAACAGGTACAGACTCCGGTCCACCAACATCCACATCGGTGAATCCAATTAAAAGCCCCACGTTTCTAGCTTCTCCGCTAACCCATTCAGTTCCCGATTCCACTTCTTGAACCGTGCAACGAATGGCACCGTGGCCGCAGTTCCCTCGAAAGCGCTGTTAAACGGTCCAAAAAGAAGCCCCCTGAGGTCACGATTGTCCTGACTCCTCTGCAGAACGCAGAAATCCTCAGGCAGTGGGTGAAACCCAAACTACCGATTCTGTCGACCTTGGCAAACGCGAAACGGCGGTCTGATTGTGCATTCTAGAGCTTCCTCTGTCTGTACTATTCAATTCGACCAAAGTATGCTCGCTTGAATGACCACATTTGTACTCTCTCCTAGTTCGAAGGGAGAAGACCACGGTGAGACAACGCCTGGCGAAGCGCCTCGGACTGTGAGGTCACACCTCCGCCTCCGCCACTCCCTCTCTCTCTCTCTGCACATTCTCAGTCACTTTGTACTTCTCCCCTCTTTTGTACGTTGTTAATACTAACCTCGGCGCCGGTTCTGCGCGGAACTACCGCCCCTGTGTACCTCGCTGTTTTGAAACACTACTACTATCGTTTTTAAGTAGGCTATTGTTTAGTTTTCTATACAATCACACACACACACACACTTAAATCAGCCTCTGTTCTTCCTCACATCCAGCACGTAGTCAAATTAAGGTGGGTTTATTGGGGGAGGGGGCAGGGGTGTATAGAAATAGGTGGTGCAGACGCGTTTGGTGGGTGCGGCGAAAGACTCGGGCGGAGGCGTGACGCTCTGCTTCACAGCTGCTGGAGGCGTGAGATGCGGTGTCAAGAGAGGCACTTTTTGGGAGGCAGTGGTGGTGGCGGCGGCGGCGGTGGGTAGTCGCCAACGTTGCTGGCCACCACGGTGGGTGGGGAGACTGGGTTGCGTGGACCAAGGCCGGCGCGCGGTGGCAACTCCGGGATGGTGGCGGCTACAAGCGATGAAAAGAAGGCGGGGTACATGGGTCAGTTGATGGCCATAGTTATCACTGTCAGGCAAAGTATTAGGGGCATGACCTAACTTCTACAGAGTTTTCAGCAAAAGAGTAGACAACAGTGGATTTAATCTTGGAAATATTGTCCATCGTTTTCTGTGATCTTGCCTCACCTCTCTTTGGTAACGTGCAAATGCCGTCGCCAAAGAAACTTGCAGGCTTCGAGCCAATAAAGCCATCGACGAATTTACGCACATCGTCCAGCCTCTTGAACCGTTTATCCACAAAGGCGTGCTGCTGCACTGACCGGACCAAATGGTAGTCGGAAGGGGTCAATTCTTGTAAATATGCCGCGTGTAGAATAATGTCTCATCCCGAGTTCAAGAGGATCTTCTGAGTCGCGCGAGCAACGTGAGGTGATCGAGAGTTGTCATGCAGCAGCAGTAGTATGACTGGCCAGCTTCCTTGCACAGTAACTGGCCCTTTCTGATCATGTTCAAGGTCTGGTTTGTCAAATTGTCGGCTGTAGCGTTCTGTGGTCACCGTCTGACCAGTTTCCAGGGGTCCTAATTGAGCTGCAAGCTCTTGTCGCGATTGCGCTAAGTCTTCATCCAGTAGATCTCGCAATTCCGCATCTTCCAACTTTCGAGGCTGCTGTCTGGGACGCAGCTGGTCACAGATCGAAATCACGACTTCGAAAACGTTTGCACCAATAATTACACGTTTCCCAGAAGACACAACGTCGGCACCAAGAACACTACAAAGTGATTCCCCTTGGTGCTTTAGCAGCATTTGTTCCTTGTTGGAATTTGTATAGAATGCAGTGTCATCGAATGTGCTGTTTATCAATTGCCGTCGTTAAGTTGGCTATTCTGAGAGGTTATGTAACTCATGTAGACTTCCTGTTCGGTGTTTTGAAACCTTGCGTCCGATCCTTTCGAAACCACGAAAGTTCGGGAAAGTATTACCATTTTAAATATAATCCTTGGGCTCAAGGGAAAAAAGTCTGTACAAACATCTAATAATCAATGATTTAGTTTCAAGTACTCCCACCCCCCGAGTCGGCGTCAGTTCCAACGCACTCACCATCTGGAGGTGCCGCGGGTCCACTATGCGGTGGCACCTTCGAGGGTGGCGGAGGTGGTGGTGGAGGTGGCGGCGGCGGCAGTCTTCCACCGCCGAAGGTCGACTCCGAGTTCGCGTCGTGTTTGCTGCGTAGACGGCGCCAACGCTCAGCGGAGGAGACGGTCACTTGACCACCTGCGTGGGGACAGCAGTACTCGTCGGTGTGGTGCGGCGAGAATTCTGCATCTGTGAAGAGGACAAGTCAAATGACCCTAAGAGCAGCCCAGGAGGAAACATTTTCGTTATCTTAAACGACAGACATTCATTAGTGACGCGTGCACAACGTCAAACCAGAAAGCTTCACCGTCTTGGCAACCAGCGAGTGAAACAACAAATATTGCAACAGAAGACCCCAAATGTCACCATCCACACCTGAAGCCTTCTAAAGGGCTCCGCGAAAGTACAGCGTACTCAGTGCCTTCCTTGAACTGACTTCAACAGTGACGGTGCTTGAATAACCGGAAATCAACCTATCCATCACATACATTCTGATTTGCAAGCAAACGTGCAGCATTCTCAACTCCGACGGACTTGTTCGCTTGGAGTGACTGAAACGAGAACTAATTATGCTCTCCCTGACCATGAGTGACGCGATCAGATTCTCTGCGTCACATTGTAGTTTTACAAGTTACTATATGGTCGATAGGTGCCCAACCGAACGCACCTGTGCTGGATTCTGTGCCAAGGAAAGCCATTTTATCGGGGGACAAGGATAGGGCTGAGACACGAGGCGGAAGGGGTGGTGCTGAGGCGCCGACGCCATCCTCTGCACCGACTGACGCCGGAGACAGTGGACTGGACCTCACAGTGGGGACCGGGGATGGTTTCGGTGGGAGGGGCGGTGGCGGACTCACCTCGGCGGGGGCTGGCGACACCCGACAGCTGCCCTCCGTCGACGAGGGTGAACACGACGCGCTCAAGTGGTCTCGGGTAGCTGGGTAGAGATGTCGCAGAAAAACAGCCGATAAAAACTGACACAGAGTGAAATGAGACTACCCCTGGTTTCCGCCTTTTAAGCCAATCAAAAGCACACTTCTTACCGGCTCTGCCACTGCGTCCCAGACTGCCACCGCGACCTACACTGCTCGGTAGCATGGCAGTCGTGGTGAAGTCAAATTTCGCGTCAGGGGACAGTGAGGTTATGGCTAGGAGCTGGCGAAACTCCTTTGAGTCGGCCTTCGTGTTGACGTCGACTGGAGCAGTGCTCAACAGGTTCCCGATGCGCAGTTCTGTTGCGGTCAGCTGACAATTCTACAGGGTAAACAAGGAGGTTGCGACTGTCTGAACTAGTCACTACATCACTCGTTGGCTAGTTCTGCGAGCCAATAGTAGTAATTGCGTTGAATCGAGTATTCTGTAGAGGAGTTAGAGTAGATACTGGTCTGAACCGATTCATCCGAAAGTAGGTAGCATGGGTGACACCTAACCTGTCATAAGCTCTCACGCAGGCAGTCTTCTGTGTTCACATTAACTCGATAAACACGCCCACGCACACACACCACAATGACACATCCTACCAGGAGGGTGAATAAACGGTCGTGGCCGCCTCGTCGCTTTGTTTTTAACCACCGGCATCCGTGCGTGCGCTAGTGGTGACCAATATTAGAGCAAGACAATAGCCTACTGGCGACGTACCACATACGGCATAACACTAAAACAGATTTGAATGGTGGAAGCCCTCGACGTACCATGTACGCGTCATCGGATGGGGGATTGAGAGAATCGACGGTGACTCCCTCGCGGGGTTGGATTCGCATGGACTTCTGAAACATGAGATCTTCAAATTCGGCTTCGTCCGCAGCACCCGCCAGGGCATGGGGGTCTAGTTTTTTCAGGAAATCCTACAAGTAAATACGAGGAAGTGAGTTTGACGCTATGCAAAGTAACGAACGACGACACCACCGACATCATCCTTGTTAGGTAGTTAGTAGTACATATCGTCCCAACAAATTGGTAACCCCGACGTTGGACGAATACCGACCTTCTGGTGTCCAAAACATCGATCATCGTTGTACTGACGTTTGGCGACTTTCTAGTATGATTCAGTCTCGTCGCTAAGCGAGGATCCATTTCAAGCCAGAATCCTCCGGACGACGCCAAATCTCCAGATGCCCTTCGACTCTCATCACCTGGTGGCGGCTGTCTATCGTTCTGCAGCAATCCTTCCATTTTTACTAGCACAAATCCCTCCCCTTTTTACAACCTGGCCTCATCCACCGCGTCTCTCTTTTAATCAACATCGCCGCATCGCTCGACTTTCACTGGCCTCGACTTCTGACGCTCATCCAGCAGATATTTTCGACCGATTCTGTCCCCTGGTTCTCCACTGTCAACCAGATCGAATGAGGTCAACGATCTCAGGATTCGGCATCATGCACGACTTCTCCAACGATCAACCTTTCAGATATCCAAGTGGTAGAAAAGGTTATATTGGCAACAACGATTCATCTCGAACGATTTCCGAAAACGAACAACGATGTCAAGTGTTTTAGTTACCTTCAGCGTACGACAATCCGCCTCATTTCTACATTCACATGGGCCACATTTCGATTGCAGAAACCTACGGCCTACCTTTCAAAAACTTCTGTGAACGAAAAGGTTCACCGAATCCCCTCGCTAAGGAGGAGAGCTTTTGTGAATCGCGTTTATTTACACTCGCTAATCCGGTCGCTCTAGTCTCCGACACAGGGTTTCCCTTTTTGCAGCATATCACCAGCCGCGGGGATCCTCAACTCCCCGCCCATTCACACCGATATTTATCCTGGATTATCCTCACACCTAGGTCTCGATGTTAGCACATGTATGACTAACACATCCGAGGTATAAATACACACGCGCAAACTCCACACACGACACCAACGTGGTAGAGCTCGGAAGTAAACGGTTGTGTCCACGTCCTGTCCAGTCTTTTGCTTCATCGCGGGTGTTAGGCGAGCGTAATTGAGTCCGGTGTCGTACAAGACCACATGCTGGGGCCCAAAACAACTTCAACCACAATTCAAGACAAACCTGAATGACCGGATCTGGCTGGAGATTGAAGGGTATGTTTTGGAAAGACAGATAGTGCTCCTTCAAATCAGCAATCTGATGGCACTTGGAGAAGTTGACGAGCGGGTCCTGCTGCGTGCCCCCGGGCACGTAGTCTGGCAGCCTGAGTTCCAGGTGGATCAGTCGAGTTTGCTCGCCGACCGCAATGAACGGCACGGCGGGGGGGTCGATGCGATGCACGCGGTGCTGGTAGTCGTCGATGTAGCCCTCCGACGAAGCCAGCAGTGCGTACTCCGATTGCCCTGCGGGCCGAAGTGACTCAACCAGGGAGCGATGATGAGATCGGGATTTCGCCAAGAGTGCCTAGAAGTTGGGGAGAAAGCGGAGACAAAGAAAACAATGAGAAAATTGTCAAGGAAGCGCTCTCAACTAAAATTTGAGTCAGTGGCGAATTAAAAAACGACGTCTACAAATGAATCCCCATCATGCTAAGAACGCGGGCAATAGGGAGAGGGGCCTGTTGCAACGCGGACTGACTCACGTCGAAGGTATCGGAGAGTCGATGAACGGGTGAGCTGTGCAGAGCAGCCCTAGCCTCCTGTGTGCCCTGGAGGTTGCCGAGGGCCTCGAAGATTGAAAGCAGGTCCAGCACGCGCTGCAACACGATCACCCGGTCCTCCATGGCCCTGTACGACACGATACTCCAGATGAGCCACTTAAGGAACTAAGAAAAAAGATTGACTGTTAGTTGGGTCACCAAACCAACAATGTAGTACTCGGTAAAAACGACAATCTTTCACCGTCCCAGACATCCGTAAAACCACAGAACACTCCCCAATTACTGGTGACACTTCAAATGGCATTGAACGCAAAAGTGCTGCGTCACCACGCCATCAGTAAGGTCGTCTGTGTAACGGCGACAAAGAGGACAGCATTAATTAACGCACATTACTTAAGTCTGTAAAACAAATACGACAAAGACATCTACAGTAGCAGACTTGAAAAACAGACTGGAGGTCTCAACGGGAACCACGACGATGTCGCTGTCAGTTAAGGTAAAAGTTGCAGAAGCTCACAGATAACGAAAAGCTTGTGGTCTTTTCAAGTACTCAAATTGAAGATATTTAGAACAAAAAAATATGTCGACTTCAAGTCAGCCCGATGTCCAAATAAGCTTGGCACACTACAGCAGGACTTGAAGAGATCTCTCTAGATAACAGTAACAAAAAATGATGCGCATTAGCGATTAGCCTGGGGCATAAGACAAGTAGCGAGAATCCACCTTGTTGGAGAATTCCTGTGAACGACGCATATTGACACCCCAGTTCTTCTCGCTGCCGTTGACCTCGCAGAATTCTATCCGAGAGTAGAGTTCCCACTCGTAGAGCGTAACTTGCCGCGCGAACTCCAGCGGATGCACCTAGGGTGACAACGAGAAACTCGAGCTAGCGTGGTTTTGCAATCGCGGATTAAAGTTAAATGCAAGCTGAAGAGTCATCCATTTTCAGTTAATCACGGGATTACATAGTTGAGGTTGTTTAACTATCCGACTCTGGATCACTTACCGAACCAAGGACTGAGCTGGTGTGCCGTGAAGTCTTCGACACACAACCACAGCACTCTCGCTTCATCCAACAACCAAAGTCAGCCATACGTAAAGGAGAACAGTGTCGCCAAAGTCTAAGAGACAACACAGCTAATGGAACAATACCAAAAGTGGATTTGATACGCACATTAGTAAGTCGCACTCGATCGAAGGTGATGGCAAGCCCAAGGTCAAGTTTTTCAGGAGCACACTGTGGAATGACTTGGACGACCTTGGCTCGGTCACCACGCAGACACCGCATGATGGCGGTGACGTTTTCCGCCAGCGAGGAGACAGCCCCGATGCCCGCCAGAAACTGCTCCAATCGACGCTGGAGATCCGGATTGTCTGCAAAGTCGACTTTGAAGTAGGAGGGGTTGCGAATCCACTTCTTGATGAAGCTAAGCACTCTGCGAACACGCAACAATAGCAGTTAGATGATACCTTCAAGTTAGGAACTTATATAAACCTGGGAAAAATCGATTGCATGACATTGAAAATACCCAACAAGACCCAGACAAGTCCAGCTATTGCCAATGGTTCTCGCAGACAGCCTTATTGGGGGATCCAACGTTATGTGGAGCTAAAGATAATCTATAACGGTTTAATGTTTCAGAAACATCCTCATAGAAGGTGTTTTATCGCTTTGAAATAATGGTTCGACTGTCGATTCATTAAAAGAAGGTCCATATTGAACAACACAATTTTTAGCAGGTTTTAACCTTTCTTCTGTTAATGACAAAAGTCGTGTTTAAATGTGCCTCGCACCCACAGACAGCTACTAGGCAGAATTGTCAACTAGAATGAGAAAAAAGGCAATTGACTGATAATAGGACCGCAACGGTTTCAAGCGACGCAATGCTCCGTGTGAGCCGAGGAAGCTACAAGCAAGCACTGTGTGGAATGGCGCAAGACTCCACATACCTGTACTGAATGCGCCGCTTGTAGGCCGAATTGAAGCGAAGCTCCATGCGAGGCACGAGCGAGGCGATGTCGGAGAACGACCTCGTGCTGGCGGCACTGCCGGCGCCGTTGTCGGCCAGGGAGGCCCGCAGCGCGCCCTCAAAGTCGGGTCGGGGCATATTGAAGCGCTGGATCAATAACTCGAGCAGTTCTGCGGCCGTGAGGTAACGTCGATACGTCTACAGCAGAATCAGGACGGCATCACTGCCTTCAGGCTAAATGTAAGTTTTCGCTTATTTGGCGATTGCACAGGCCTGCACCCGACTCGAGGCCAATTTAAACACAACACATGTCGATGAATTTGGTAATCAATACCGTCCTGATTTCCCTCTTCTTTATAGACACTGCCAAAAAGGCAACTCTGGCTTCCTTCACTAAAATTACATTTCTGTATTTTTTGAAGATGAAATATATGAAAAACCGGAAAATCCATTGCAATTGGATGAGGGAATTCAGCCCTTGCAAAAGATTCTCTTCGTTCGATTCTTGTGAAATGCCCGTCTGCTGATTTGGTGTCTTCGTGGCTTGTCCTCAGTGGAGTTGGGTTCAGTGTCTCGTGACCAACCTTCACGTAAAAGAGGACCCTTCCTTAGATCCAACGGCTACCTCCAGGTCGGTAGTTCTAAGCGTACACGGGAGTTCCAGCCTTAAATGGCGTAGTAGATTCCGTGCGCGGAGACTTTAGGTGCTTTCGTGTTGCTAACCGCTTTTCATCTCCAGTTATCACTTGGCTCAAGAAAAGTTCGTTTTGTCGAGAGGCAAGGATAGAGGGAAATGGTTGTGAAAACACATTTCAGTTATTTCCCTGTCCTGTGAAAACATGCTGAGTTGCAGCCAATCTGCTTTAAATTTTGCCGACTTGTCTTAATTTAGTTTCCCAGAGATGTCTACAGTGGTAATCCGTGGATTATTCACTAAATCACCGGTGGGTCGACCAAGGCGGATTAAATCGTTCAGCATTTTGAAGTCGGCTAAACCACGTTTCAGCTGTCCTGGTAGTAGGAGTGCATGCTTCTGCTCTCTATGAAAGTCGAGCACGAAATTCTGCAGTCACACTCGACGCTTTTTCAACAACTTTTTACGGAAACATCTAGATAAACAAAATTTTGTCCAAACGCCCCAAATGAAGCAGAGCTGAAAAGTTCAAAACGAAACTCCAGCGTGGTGATTTTGCAGAATAGTCAGTCTTACTTCGAGATTATCAACGTTGAGCATTACAAGGACTTCGAAAAAGGCGCTTCGCATTACTGGGTGTCAGCTTATCTAGATGGAGCCATCCCATTAAAAACGCTACCTCTTACGAGCCAGCCAGATATCCAGAGAATTCTGATCGGTGTAAAATGCCAGTTGCATCGGACTGAAACGAAATCACCTAAAGGACAGTATTTATAAAAATAACTAGAAGGTCAAAAGATGAACTCTGTGTTGGATTCGTCTTAACGTCATACGGACACTTACAATAACTTCGACCCATCCAGCTGAACTGAGCGATTGACCAAGGCATGGCAATATTACGGTATCCATGACGCTGCACCATACACAAACATTAAAGGATCCTTATACTTTGTTGACAACTCAACCCTGCGACCCCGATGCCACCAATTACAGCGCGTTTATCCAACTCCTAAAGTGGCAACTTGGCAATGGGCAATAAATTTGACCTGAACACAAGCAAGCAATAAAGAGAGGAGAAGAGGAAGGCCACACACCCGCAAAAACGTCCGAATAGTTTCACTATCGAAGCAGGTGTGCGAAGTGACGCGCTCAACCAGCTTGACGACGGTGGCGGCGCGGATCACCGAGATCTCCGCGCTACTGTCCGTCCGCGGGGGCTCGAACAGGATGTTGTCTGACGCGTCGGGTTGGGAAAAACTGAATTGTTAAAAAACAAAGTTATGCTTCGTGCACACACACACGCGCGCGCCCGTGGACATCGGTGCCCCCTCTACCTCTTACCGGTATTGTTGGGGATCAGGAAGAATAAGCGGAATTTCTTGTTTTGGTAGCTGGCGCAGATACCGCTGGAAGACGCTGCAAGCAATGCCGAACGCGTTAACCCCACGCCTCTTAAATCGACCGGTCAAAAAAGGCAATTTTCTACTGCTCACCACTTGCGCTGGATACCAATCAAGGTGGCGAGCCAATCGGCTTTTTCATCGGCGGTTTTTAAGCAAAATGTTATGCGCTTCGCGGGGCCCGATGAATTAGCGATGGTGTCACCGATGAAGCCAGAGGAGGAGGAGGAGGAGGGTTCACCTGAGAGGGCATTGAGGGTTGTGGTGGAGCCGGAAATCCAGTAGGCAGGGGTTTGATTCAGGGTAGAGAGGCTAACAGCACTACCCTGTTTGGGTAGGGAGGAGGTGGCGAAAGGCTGATGTCGCTGGACCTTCGGCTGGTCCGACTTCATTGGCTGGTGACGCGACATAACAGTCACGTCACGCCAGTACTCAAGTTCAAATATGAACACAGCCTCTGGAAAAACATTTACGTTAAGTAAAAAGGCACAAACGTTAAAAAGATAGGAATTAGGGGTGTAGTAGTGAGTGGAGTTAACTAGAAAGTTGGGGGCGGCTGTGAAGGATTACCTCCACTCTCCGGGTTAACCTGCATCCCCAGATCGATGAGGTGGAAGTGTGTCAGCGGAACGCCTTTCTTCAGCACCAATCCGCTTCCAGATCCGGGCGAAGTCGACGAGGAGGGATTGGTTAGGGCCGCAGCTGCCGCCATGGCGACGGTCGTCAATGTGTTTCCGCCCACCCGTCGTTGCTGACCGGCGCGTTTCAGGAGGAGCAGACAGTCCGTGAAAAGGTAGGCCACGCGGTCCGAGAGGCCGGCCATGGTGGAATTCCGCCTCAACTGGACGACCCCGGCTACAACGGGAGGCATTAATGGGACGTGCAAAAGGTCACTCTTAGTCGCGTCACACAGTCCCAACGCGTGTGCGAACGCTAACACCAGCAGTAATTAGCAAGGCATAAATTCATTTTTTTTCGCTTCTAGTGCACAAGACAGCACTTACACATGATGTAGTCGTTAGCCGATAGTCGGCAGTGGCCCACTTCGTTGTTGTTTTTTGCCGCCGTGATGACTTCGGAGAGACGAACCCGTGCCTCGGCGGGCAGGACGAAGGCGGGCTTGGTTGACAGCGGTGTTTCGAGGAGGAGGCTCAGACGCGGGAGGTGGGTGTGGATCCAGGCTGTCGCTTCCGTCGAATTAGACAGCTCGTGCACGACTGACTTTCGCGTCTTGTAGAGCATCGACGAGGCGTCACGAAGGATGGCCTGTTCCTGGGGATTTTGCTGGGAGTAGGTGCAGAGTTCCTGGAGCATGAAAGAAAGCAACCAGGTAACAACCGCGACCAAACCAAGCACCGTGAAATCCCTTCTGGCAGTGAGTTCTGAGCCTTGGGAACGCAACAATGGTCCACCTTAGCATCTGGCGTAAACTGAAATTAGTGTTGTGAATCGTGTTTATTCACACTCCTAAATCCGGTCGCTCCATCCTCCGACACAGGGTTCCCCCTTTCGTAGCATGTCGCCAGCCGCGCGGATCCTCAACTCCCCTTCATTGACACGGATATTCAATTTGGATTATCCTCACACTTAGGTCTCGATGTTAGCGCATGTATGACTCACACATCTGAGGTATAAATACGCACGCGCAAACCCCACCCACGGCACAACGACACCAACGTGGTTGAGCTCTGAAGTAAGCAATTGTGTCCGCGTCCTTTCCGGTCTTTTTCTTCATCGCGGATATCAGAGAAGCGTGCGATATTGAGGCCGTAGGTGAATCAAGTAACCTGAGACCGGCTTATGTCAGTGCAACAATGACCCTGCAATAATATTACACACATGATTAGTAACCATGATGAAAACGGTTATACATTCGATTACCTATTCCCTGATTGCAGGCTTGGGCAATTCCAGTGCCCAAAAATTCAAACGTGCCACAGTTTAAAACAACTGTCCTATCAAACAACCAAACTGCATGGCCAAGCGAAACTTCGTCTCTTGGGGCATCTAAGCGCTGAGAGTTTGACTCGATAGATGCCGAAGAGACATTTGTGATTGGCCTGATGGCTGAAAGTACTTTGCTGAAATGGAAACGAACTCACATCGAGTAGGTCGGCAAGGTAGAGAATTTGGTAGACAGGCATCAGAAGCAGCCGCGGTAGGAGGTACCGAAAGGCGATCACCATCTGACTACAGGTGCGTGAGCCTCCACCGTGAATAAACCTGCCGCCGCCTCCAGGCCCAAGCGGTGGGGCTCTGCTGGCCAGCGCGCCGGGCGGTGAACGCTCCCCTGAACTGGACGACGAGGCGTACACAGCCGGGGCCTTGGTGGAGGAGAGTTTGCGGAAAACGGAGTGTGAAAACAAACCTGCCGCGGGAACGTGCGACGTGGATGGCGATGGTGGGTGTATGGGCTCGGGGACCGTGGCGGTGCAGAGCTGGCAGGTGTGGGGGTCGGCGAACTTCAGTTCGAGGTCAGGAAGGTGACGCAGGGATACCTTTGTGCCAAAAAAGGAAGTTTCTACAGTGCCAACCGTCATCAAACAACAAACATTTAAAATCGTTCAATGACCAATAGGAGGGGATCTTTAACTACTACCACACCCCAGGCAAATGCTTTCATCCTGCATTAGAAAATGTGACAAATTGTGAACAGAGAAGACGAATGATGTACTTTATGGCAGGCATGAACTGCCAACGCGTGTGGCGCGTTCTTACCTGCTTGTAGATGGCGTTCACCATCCGTCGATGGCATCGCCGGAGTGACGCAAACACCTTGGGGCACTCTGACAACACGGCGAGCCAGTTATGACAGTTGTCGGAAAACAGCACCTCCGCGTAGTAGGCGAAACCCTGGTACAGGTCCTCCTCTGCGGGTTCCTTGAGTGAAAAAAATAAATAAAGGTCATGCACTTGCGAGTGGATGATGTAAGCCACCACTAACTGGTGATCCCGTGGACTACACTTAAGAAAACGACCTATTTCAGGCTGGGTTATATTGGAGAAGAATAAATCGATTTATTGAATAGCTTAGGTGCCAACATCGTCTAGTCAATGTTCGGTGGGACTCGAGTCAGCAACATACAGGGATGGCGAAAAAAGAGCCTTTTAAATGCATCGCAGTACTAGGATTTGCCCCAAGTAACAGCATTTGGTGATTTTGGTGATCTCGCATTCCACATATTTTGTGGCCTGAGTCAGCAACATGAGCATAACTAACAGCGTTGTACTAAAAAGTGCGACCTAGTTATTCTAAAAGATAGATAACACAATGACACCACTGCGGCTAAATCGAGCTTACACAAACAACATTATCTTCAGTTGCTCACAGAAACAACCATGGTTAGCCGCAATCACCATCTCTGGCTTCCGGGGCAACTGAGTTTGGGGCACCGTACGACAAAAAAGGCACTTATTTATTAACTTCAAATTAAACTCACAAGTTCCACGAAGGCAAATCAGGTGATTTGGGGGCCGGGAATTAGGCAAAAGGCACTACAGATAGCCAGGGGCGCGACCACACAGAAGCCTACCTGAAGACAGTAGTTGAGAAGATGATCAGTGCTGTCGAAAATGTCGTCTGACACCTCGGCGAGGATATTTAGGTCACCAACAAGGCTCTTGCTCATTTGGTACACTGAGAGGGCGGCGATAGCGGCTTTCCCAGTGTCGGTCGTTGGGTCACCGCTAAGACCTACTAGAATGCTCGAGAGGGGGTCAAAGAAAACGCGAGTGACGAGATTAAGTGACAGGTTGCAGGTCTTGAGAAAGGCCTGGAGATCCTTGAGGCAGCCCTCGTATGTGTCAGCGTTGCGTTTCACTAGGGGCAGGTCATTGTTTATTACGTCGACCGATGTTGCACCCAAGAGACTGAAGATATGCTGGAAATAGATGTAGTGTTATTAAAACCACCCCTGTAGTCAACAAGGACGAAAGAATAGCCCTAGTGACAGATTAAAATGGACATCTCACGTTAGAACTGAAGGAATAGTACAAACGATGACTTTAGAGAAGCTGCCTTACCTGCATATCCGTCGAGGAGATGGTGCATTCCGAAAGCACTCCGAGTTCGGAACGGTAAGTAAGAGCAGTCTGAGAAGCCAGTGAATTTATCTTTCCACCTACCTGAATAATGCTACTAAGCATGTGCTCAAGAATTTGAACAAACAAGCAAGTTGTGCTTGTGTCTACACGCCCGTCAATCACTTTCATGTTGGTCATTATCTTCTCAGCCACGGGCAAAACAGACTGTTTTCGTCCACGCCTTTCTGCAAGCGCCCGGTATTCCTCCAGTTGTTTTTCATCTGCAAATCAAATTTTGTCGAAAGGAGGATTTGATAAATTCAACCTTTAACAGGAATTTTGAGTGAAGTAGATGTTAGAATCAGAAGAAAAAACAACACAAGGGAAAATTATCTTCCGCCTAAGAGGAATCAATGCACGAGTTTCTGTGAAAGTGTGGAACAATAATAAAATCAAAGTGCTGACTGGTAAATAGCACTTATGACATATTTAACGATACAAGCGACATCGAGGTATTGAGCTAGGCAATAGCAAACATACCCGGCCGTAGCTTCAACGGAAGACCACCAATAACACGGGTGTAGAGTTCGGTGACAGATAGGGGGATGGAGGGTGTGCAGAGGCATCGGGCATAGTCAAAAACATTCTCAACAATGCAAGCCTTTGCAAATGGCTCTAAATGCACGGCCTGGGGTGTTGCAATTAGTCCAATGATTGAATCGCACGCTAGTTCAAGTAAGTTCGGATGGAATATTCTACTAACTGTAGCAGCCGATTGGAGAGAACTAGCGAGAGTTGGATTTACGCATGCGTAGTGGCATGAAGAGTGTTTGGCGGTCATAACTTACATTCTAAAATTTCGAAAACGGTTTGTTTTTCACTGACAAATTTTATCAAACAAACAAGAATGATGGGATAGCTTTATGAATAAAAATAACTAAAAGGAAGTATAACGCTAACCCAGCTGTTCTTGGTTTGTCACGAGTTCTGACTTTTCTCATATATAATTTCTGAGTTCCAGTTTTGTCACTGGGAAACAGCTTTGTCCAACGTCTTAATACATACAATGTTTAGAATACTAAGACAAATTTTTAAAGTTGTACAGATTAAACACGCAGAATTACGTTGAATTATCTTTTATGTATATAAAGGAACTGGCACGATGAGCGCTAATCTACACCCTGTGTAATTTAAGTAGGAAAACACGCAAAAATAATACACGGAACGTTGTGGTCCTAGTTATAAATTCTAGGCTTGGTAAATTAGCAAAACTGTTCAAAGTAATTAAGAAATAAATGGAATTTAAGGAAAAAAATTACATGGATTATTTGGTAATAGCGTGGGATTTATCGAATGGAAGTAGTGACAAATTCCTTTATGTGCTTAGCGGATGGCGATTTCCATATTAATACAATTGTTAACTTTATAAATCACAACGAAAAAAAATACGCACGGTGTAAATCCCATGAAAAAAATGAATAAGATCACGAAAAATACGTTGATTGGTCAAGGTTATATTTCAAGTAACCGTGATCTACGATGACATTTAAAAAAATTCATTCGGTTTCAGCACATAAAAAATTGCAAATCTACCATTTTTGAACATCCAGAAAGTTATTAATTTTAATTATTAAATTCTGATTAAACACTTACTCAGAAAGGAACCGTAAGAAATCAGAATCACGAGTTCTCACTCACAGCACAGACGAAATGGACGAATGGAAGGCCAGGTAAATTATCATCAACATTAAAGTGTGCACAAAATAATTAAAGTTGATCTTCCTATGCTTTGATAAAAGGTTTTGTTACCAATTGCAAATTATCATACAACAACAATTTAATGTCTTTTATATATCAGAATAGGCGATTACTTTGAGTTCACTACTTTACTGGTATATTCAAGACATTTTAATAGTAGCTAAATTGATATTTGGTGTCTTATTATCCTGAACACATTATGATCATTTGATTTCATAATGTCATTTGTGTATGCTTTGAATGATAATAACTCGAAGGATTCCATATTATTATGCTGCACAACTTGGAACACATTTGTTCCAATAATTTTTCAGACCAAGTTAAACAACTAATGTTGCTATGTTGAAAAAAGTTCTGTTTTTACTTACTGCTCCTAAGCCGACTTCGTACATTCGAACAATGTTCTCAGGGTGATTGCGGGCAAGCGTACATATTGTAGAATATACAATTAGAGTAAATTGTTACGTTGTTTCTGATGAATCCTTTGCTTTTTCGTCACGGTTACCTCTTGCAAGGCTCCGCTTTTCAAAAAGCCAGGAAATGTTTGAAATACATTTTTTTACAACATGAATGACTTTGTGACCCAATTTTGTGACCCAATTATTACTTCGCAAAGACTGATATTTAATAGTCAGGGCTCCCTTTTTTACATTTAGAACGACAATTGGAAGTCGATCATTGATTATAGAGTCATAAATTTGCAGGCATTCTTTTTATGTAGAGATCTTATGAACAGAATGGCACGATTTTCCTTCATGGCTTTTAGAATAAAGTTATCAAGGCAGCTTTTTACACACCCATTCTTGGGACCTATTACTGTGTTTACTTCTTCTAATTGTGCTGGCCGTTCACTTATCATTTTACCTCGCCTTCCGGTGGTTTGATCCAATGATTGCATTCTTCAAAAAATCGATTTTGTGACTTATTCTGGGAAGATTTTTTAGCAGTACACTTTCACCCATTTTTCAAGCAGAAACCCTTGCAAATAAATTTATTTTCTCGAATTGCAGTATTTGCTAGACAATTGACTAAACTTTTAAAACAACGAAATTATTAACATTATACTAGTACACTGGAGACCGAATTCCGCAGATATACATTGTTAAGTAAAAGCTAATAGCCAAAGATTTCGTTTGTTATTGTTTTGAATAATAAGAGTCAATGGGGCTCAGATGGGCGACGTTTAAAAGTAGTCGAAATTGGCGAAATAGCGTTTGTCGTCATGAGGCGAAATTGATCGATCAGGAGGCGTAAAACGAGCCTTTTCACTGGTGTGTCGCTTGTCAAAATTTGAAACGTCTTCCATATTTACCTAAAACGCACAACAAATTTTAAAGTTTTTAAAAAGAAAACCTCACCCTGTTTAAGCTGTTGGGCTTATTTTTCCCTTAAAGGTCTATTAGTTATATTTAATTTTATTGTAAAACCTACATGTTTTAAAGTTAAGGAATTTCTTTTGGAATTTTTTAGATGAACCTCTGGCTAAGTAACCAAAATTCATGAACAATTGGGCTATTGAGTGTCTTGGCTGCGCATTCTATTAATTGGGGCTTGTTGTGATTCGTGTATTTTCAAAGTCGTCTGTCCGGTAACTCCATTCTACAACCAATGCCCCCTTCACACAGCATGCCATCAGTCATGTTGAAACTCGAATGACAAACATATCTGTGACTCAAGCTGTCACACACCTTATTGAGCCACCTGGTTAACGTTTGCCTTCGGTCTATAGTCTTTGGTCTTAATTATTGCGGGTGTCATAGTGGCCCGGGAGCGGTACTTGACCACGTGCCGGCGCCCTTAACAGGCTGATTCAACTCGGGCTTTGGAATGTACTTACAAGTGTAGGAGCAAATGGTGGTTGCAGTTTCTGTGCCAGCAGCAAGTCGAAATTGATCCCAGAAAAGAAGGGTTGGGCCTTGACTTCAGCCACGCCTGCCGGCACGGCACCCAGGCGTCGTGTTGGGTTTTTCTGCAAGAACTTGCGGATAATATCCCCAGCCTTCCATCCAATGTTAATCGGGATCTTGGCTTCCGACCGAAGTATGCTGTCGTAGACATCTTCTTCTCGAATCCCAGAAAATGGACACTAAATATAGAGGTTATATCAGCCTGCTTTATGCAATGAACGCTGAGTAATCACCCAGGAAAATGTAAACACAGACGTTGATTAATGACCTAGTGAACAGTTTCATTTATTTCGTACACTTTAAGAGATGCTGCCTCTGGAAGTGTTCGTGACTGAAATCCACATATTTAAAAGCTACGTGACAATGCATAGCACTCTGAAATTCGCTCTCTCGACTTGCCTTGCCAAGGAGCATTTCGTAGATAAGCACGCCCAGACTCCACCAGTCTGCGGCGCGAGTGTAGCCATTTGCGTTGAGCATCTCCGGAGCCAGGAACTCGGGTGTCCCGCAGAACGTGCTGGTTTCGTCGTGCGGCCCCATGCCCTCCTTGCAGAGGCCAAAGTCGACCAGTTTCAGGTAGCCGTTTGCCGTCAACAAGAGGTTCTCCAGCTTGAGGTCTCTAGAGTACAATTTGAGCAGAATTTGACGTTGACAGAATAATGTTTTTTGCGGGTATTTAGGTACAGGATAAAAAGGTTAACGCAGGAATTCATTACACATTCCCGCGTGCCAATGAAATCAAATGTTTACAGCGTGTACGACTTAATACACACTTAAATCCACACTTTCTTCTCGATTTAAACATTCTAATTAGTGTCGACTGCTTATAAATGAGTTAAAAGTGCTCATTTTGAGTTCGAATATGCGATTTTGTGTGCTAAATCAGCACAGAGTCTAAAAACTGACCTACCTGTACATAATATTTCTTGAGTGGAGAAATTCCAGGGCAAGTACAACACACGCAGAGTAGAAGAGCGTTCTCTCCTCGCTAAATGGGCCTTGCTGAATGTGTTGCATTAAATCCCCCCCAGGAATGTAATCCAGCACGATCACTGCATAGTCCTATCAAGCGAAACGATTTGAACAATATACTTGGTGTTGTAGTGGGCTAAAGTGTAATTAATTGGGTTAATTGATGTTAAATAAACACTTTTAACAAAACGGTGGTATTTGTCTGAAAAGATAGCAGCTCATCCCGGTTCAGAAGTTTGGTTTACTGGAACCAGACACTCACTTTTGGATCTCTTAAGAAAAATGAAGGCGACCAGGTGTGTTTACAGCCCTTTTTCTCGGGTCGCTGAGGTTTACAGATCGGTTTTGCCTTCTCAACTTAAGGAGTCAAGTCAGCGAACTTCATTCAGGCACACCAACTGAAAATGTCAGTCCCTAGATCGTAGCACCAACGGCACTAAAAGTTGATCGTGTTTATGACTTCAGCCGGTCGCTGCACATTACAACGATCACTATTCCATAGGCCATTAAAATGGGTTGTGGAGATTTACAGAATTTTGCATCATTCCTGGATAAAATTAGACTTGCAAGACTCACGAAATCGCCGTATCAAAAATGCTATCGCATCAATAACTAAAATGTATTAAATCATAAGCATAATTCGCTGATCTCTCACTCACGGAGTCTGGGTAACCTGCTAAATTCAAATGAATTCATAAATAATAAAGACGTGAAACATGAGATTAGAGGATGATTTCTCCGCAACTCAAGTCAAAATATCCTTCAGTTATGGTAGAATACTGCCAGTTTGCTGTCAACTGCAATTCACTCTCCGAAAATCTTAGTTAGAGGGTAGTGGTTCTGTCTCTCCTAGTCAAAGCATGGAGCTGGTTCAATTTTAGTGTCATGTGAATGAAGAACTTGACACAAAACGAACTCACCTTGGACTGTAGGCAGGCCTTCATGTGAGCAAAGAATGGATGCCGCGCCTCTGTGATCACTTGCAGCACCCGCTTCTCCGTCGCCAAACACTCCACGTTCTTCTCCCGAAGCAGTTCAACCTTCTTGAAGGTCTTCAATGCATAGTACTGCTGTTTCCCGGTTTGTTCGGCCAGCAAAACCTTACCGAAGTTGCCTTGTCCCAACACAGCTACCAAACGGAACTCCTCGATTTCCGTTTTCCTGTGGTTTCCTAAATAGAGTTTGAGTGTTCTTAAATGAACTTTTCGAATAAGCTCGTCGTTTTGAGGCGACGGCTGAAAAGGTCATTGAATAGGCGTCTTCCCTGGAAGAAAAGCACCCCATTTTAGACGATGTGCTAAGGCAAAAATGTGTCTGTTGATTTCCAAACATTTAAATCTCTTCGAAGCAAAAACAAGAACGCATTTGGGTAGATGGCTCATTGAAGTAACTGATTAAGAATACAACATTGGAACATATAGCTCGTTGTTGAAGCTGTTTTTACCTGGAGTCGTGGAAACAGGTGATTGCGAGTAACCAGTTGCTGCCGCCAGCTCCTTCATTCGCTGGCTGACCAGTTGGCCCCTTTGTACGGGTTGAATGTGGCCACCCTTTGGATTCGCTTCAATTGGACCTAGTTACAGGGATATGAGACACTCTCTAAACCCTCCTAATACATTTCTATGGCCAATTTTACTTCTAGTAATTTGCGTACCTTTTAGCCTACTTGAAAAAAAAAACGAAATAGACCGTGATTTAGGACGCGGTGGGCGTATATAATGCTCAATTCTGATTTCGAGGATGGACTCAAAATTTAATCGACAATTTGCTTAACACGATCACGAAGTGGAATCATCGTCTTGTGTTACGTTGCACCAATTCAATGTGCACAGTTCTAGTTGCTGCCTCCAGCCCAGCTACAGATCATGGCATACCTTGATGCGACTCAGAAATGAGGGAGAAACTGTGGCACTTGCCATTTTATTTCCCTATAACCATTCGTTTTACCATGCTGTTCTCGTTGGAAAAATATTTGAATTGGACAATAGGTGTATATCTGTAATTATTTGAAGTCTGCGTTTATTGTTTACCGTCGTTTGTTCCATTTATTGGCGAATTAGTTATTGGTTTGGCTAATATATATCCGTTGCCTTTTGAAGTTATGCTGTTCCGTCATTGTTTACAAAAGCAACCTACCGTTAAGGGGCTTTAAAGTGTCCCTCTGGGGTCCATGGTGCACCTGCTTTCCCCCGAGTTCTCGCACGCGTCTGCTAATCAAACTCTCGGTGGTTCTACTTGCTGACACGTTTTCGTAAAGCGGTTCCTCGTCTTCTCTCCATCCTAACAGTTAAATAAAAGTGAGAGGTAATCAAAAATTTCAGGATAAGACAGCATACCTAAATGCTGATGATGCCATTTATATTGGACCAATCACACGCGAGTGCTACTCGCAGAGATGGCGAAATAGCTTAACTGTCCTCTCATCACTCCATACAATGTGTCTATTTGTTTGTTTTCAAACTAACCAAGTTTGCACACTGTGTTTATCGATTACAACTTGCTACACTGATCGTAATTCTGTCTTAATCAATATGCGATTTTGCGGGGTGTCACTAGACTACTTTGGAGCAACACACAATCGGGTTGCAGACGCGATTATAACAATGACTTGTCTCAAAAAGCGTCTTTTTACAGAGACTTGAGCTTCTGTGTGTCACCTAATGAACTCTGATTAATTGAAATTCTACTGTGTAGGCACTTGTAACTCTCCAGGAGCATTTTGCAGAACGAATTCGTGCAAGGCCATGTATAATGTGCTGCTTAGTGACCACCTTCTTTTAAAAAGATGACTGGACAAATACCTAGTGAGTGAGTAATCTATTTGTTCCTTTCCACCACATCTTTTGGTCATGAAGTTGTGTATCACGAGAAAATCCACACAGAAAATGCAACCTTGCATGTTGGTACCTTCCCAATATTAAACTTCAATTTCGGCAACGTTGCATAGAAAATGCGTCTAGATCTTCTGAAAATGTACCTGGTGGAGTGATTTGAGTCATGGAGTAATCTACACTCGATGGAGATACTACATCATCCTTTGTCAGACTGCCGAATTGAAGGTTAATGCCTTTGTCCCATCGTTCAAATCGTTGACTTTCAGGAATAACATCGGGCTGTGGTTTGTTTCCTAGAAATAGATTATCAAGCAAATGGAGAATTCTGCGTCATTATTAAATGGTTAGCAGCATGCATCTACCTTCCAAGTTTGCACACACAAAACCAAAAGATGTTCACCATTTAAATCTAGCCGCACCCAAGACCCACATATGATCGATAAGTCTTTAGCATACTTCGGACATAGAACTTAATCAGAACGTAATTAACCTTTGTCATGTTATCTTCGCACAACCCTTTGTTTTACTATACTGGATGTATTGCAGCACCATTCAAACTCATTAATAGTTGTTAGGACTCATTTTTGTACATATTTACTGTCTATTCTGCTCATTATTATCTATTTGTTATTTAGGAAAACCGCAATATAAAGTCGCTTAACTGGATTTTTAATTTTATTTCTCTGATTCCAGCGGGTTAATTACCATGTATGTCACATAACTGATTTAAAACAAACGAAATAAACTTTTGTGTGGAATATCTGCATTGTCATCTCTATTTGCGCATTTTTTTACCTCAAAAGTATTTATCTAATGAAGAAATAACGTGAGTTGTTCGCTGAAGTAGTTTGTGTGCCTAAAATGAGCATTCGGTTAATATTAGTATTTAATTAAATTGATTTGTGTAATTAATTGCATAAAATCGTTATTGAAATCCCGTTCTCATAAGCGTCTTTTTGAGCTGTATGACTTGAGTACCTGCAAATAATTATGCGAAAATCACCAAAACACGTCCATTTGTGTAAATAAAACTAGCTACAGACAGAGTTCACTGTGTTATGGTGAATTTTACTAGCCTAACTTGATTATTGACGGTCGTTTTGAGTCATATGTTACCGACGATATAAAGATTCGTCAACAGGTGATCTGTTTTAAGACGAATGCAACCATTTTTTTCTAGAAAATTGAAAAATCGTATCCCTTAAGCATTGTGGGAATGCCTACCAGCATTCAGAGGTGGCACCTGTTGTATCGACTCTATAGTTCTGTTTTGTGCACAAATTCGCTCTATTCTTGGGTCCACTGTTTTGTTTCCAGGAGTTACTAAAAGACAAGTGATAGAAATTACGTCCGGAATCCAAACGTAAATAACAGGGAACAAGAAAACGTCGACCTGCCTTGTTTGGAAGCACTGTAATCTCGATCGCTCGGAGCAGGATCAACACCCAGACTCATGGTCAGTTCTTTCAACCTCTGGTGAATGAGGTTACCGACAGGGTGAGAAACCTTTGTAGTAAGATCAAAGCTCTGTTCTGTCTGGCCTGGCGGTTTGGGCTGAGCTTTGAACACAAAATGTTATTTTGGTTAAGACGGCAAGAATATCATTGACACAATGACTGCATACTCAAAACACAAGAAGGCGAGAAATTAAATTTCCAACCTCTGATGCATATTCTAGTGCGTCTAGCCATTGGCTGAGCAAGTTGTACCTAGAATACGGCTGAAATTCGATTGGCATTTTTCAGTTTATTTGTCCCAGTAATGCTGCCTTTCAGAGGGAAGTTAATTCACAAAGTGGGTGTAGTAGGATGAGGCAGTGAACCTCACCCCTTATATACCTTGTCATAAATGGTAAATCAGACAGGTCGGAATCTCTCTCGACTACCTGAACTCACTGGCGGACCTTGAGTGCCGTTGGTTTTGTTCATGTGATTTTCACCTGCATGGTCAGATGATGAAAATGATGTCAGAGATTATGCATGAATTTAAAAACATTTGACAGGTTTCGGTTACGGCTTTTAAAGAGGCGCATTTCCAAGACAATGAAAACGCTGCTTAATCAACATTTAGTAGTAGCACTTGCAAGTCATTGTTAAACACAGGTCTGCTGGTCAGCAATTATAATTTCTGTGTTCCACAATCACAAAGTGAATTAAGATTTATCCGTAGAATAATCACGTTTGTGGGCAAACATGAAAGTATTTGTAATATAGACCTACCCTTTGGAACCAAGAGTGTGTCTTCATAGTTATCTTCTGGAGGTGGCGGCAGATTCCCAGGTTTCATCATTGCTGCACTCATTTGCTGCTCGTAATCATTTGATGAGCGTTCAAATGATGCCAAGGATTGGAATCCCACCTGATCCAAATTTCCGTTGTCTTGAACTGACGAACAATACAGGAATACGTGTTAAAAAACCTGGGTTTTAGCGGATATCTACCTAACCTGACCCGAATTTATCAAAATTATTAAATATTTAAGATTTAGACTATAAGCCCTTTCAGGCACTTAAATAAGCTCTATGGTGTCGGAATTTAGAAGACCTTTCGAAGTCAAATCATTTCCGGCCTTCTGCGATTCATTTATAAGTACATCTGTTTCGAAACATTAAACCTTCTTCTTTCCAGGCAATTATTCTTGCCAGAGGCCGAAAAATGGCTTTTCTGATCCATGAAATATCGATTGTTTTTTCACAAGCCAATCAATTTACGGGAAAATTAATTTACTAAATTTAAAAGAAAACTAGGGAAGTGTATCAGATTAATGCAAAAGCGGATCCCGTTTTACTTTAAATTTATAGCTTTTTTCGCGTACTAAAGTTTCGAATGTAGCGTTAAACTGCTTGTGGTAGTTTCCGTTGGGATTATTTTACCAGTAAGAATTTTCGTATTCGTTGCATTTTTTTTTTCATTTTGAACGAAGCTCCCGGATTTTTACCAAAATATGGGTTGAGAAAGCTCAGTTAGCTAGACAGTTAGCTTACGACTGCGTCAGAGCACTTCGCGGGAAAGTTTCAGCACATAACTAGGTCGTTTGTTTGTCAGGGATTGTTAGAATATACCTGGTAGCTTAAACCCCGGCACTGTCGCATCGTCCGGCCGAAAGTTCAGTATCATTTCATACGGGTGATTTGAGTTCCGCGAATCCTCCTCATCTGTCAACGTACCTGGCAAGAAATCCACGTATAAATTAGAAATTTCTTTTATAAGATCGTCACGTTACGTTTTCATTAAATGGGGAATTTATTGGACGGGTAGGTCTATTTGTGGTGTATCTACTTTTGAACTTCTATGAATAGACGATCGGTAGCAAATCACATTTATTTTTTACCAGCTAGTAGCCAAATCAGGCATTAGTCAGAACATTGCAAAACGCCTCCTCTCAGACAGACTGTGTCTTTTGATCCAGCTCACTACCACTTAGCTCTAGTGTATGTGTGGAGCTATCTAGACCTTAAACTTTTGAGGGCAACCTAGCTTCACGAAATTCACTTTGGCCGGAGCAATCTTTGCTCAAATAACAATCGATAATTTAGAATGATTCGTGGTCAGTTAAACGTACTAACATGACACTTACACTTGATAATCAAGCGCCACCACATGGTTTGATAAGGAAACGTGCCACTTTAATTTCAATTAAGGAAAACTGCTTGCAAAAAGCTCGTCTCTGTGTGATACTACTGATTGTCTAGTAATTCGAATTTAATTATGTCGAAATGACAATCGGTCTTACCAAAAATTAACTACCTCCAATCTGATGGTAGTGATGTCCAGTAAACGCGTCTGGAGAAAGTTATATAAATTACTGCTAGCAGATAAGCTTGAAATTTGTCACAATGTCTTACAAAATCCTGCATCAACGTGTGATTCAACTGGTAAATATACCAAAATGCCTTTTTAACGTCCAGCTGAACATGGAATAGCGCGTCAAAAGTAATTTTAAGATCTAATCTGGAGGTACTGCGGGCTTTCGTGCAGTCACATTGTTGAAAATGCCATAATTATTCCATGTTGGGTGTTTTCGTGCCTTGTAAAATACTGTCTTAATGACCAACAGTTCCACAACCACGCTTTTGTGGTTTTGCAAAATCACTGAAGCGCGTGCCAACTTGTGCATGGGATGACACACGTTGAACCGTGGGTTCGATAAGCTTTTGTGGGAGCAACAGCGATTACAACACTTTCGTCTCCTGATTATTAAATTTTGCGTTCACGTGACGGGAACACGAGTCACCCATATGCCTTGCCTCCTGCTCGCTCGTTTGCCAAGTGGGTGTAGTTACTGGTACACCAGCCCCACGTTATTCCTTACCACCGATTCTGTCTATCTGAAAAAAAAAACCCTTAAATCTATCAAAACCCGTCTGTAACACAGCTGCCACCTTGGCGGTTGACACCCCCTCCCACTGATCCTTTAACCACTCACACCAATTTTATCTGGCTATGTAGTAGGTGGAACAATGACATTACTAACACTCTCCAAAGCTGTAATTTTCCAAAGCTCGACGTTGAGTTTGAGTTAGATTAGGCGAATATCTGCGCTTTACTTTTAAGTGAATTTAACTTACATTGCCATAAGTGTAATCAGTTTCCTTAAATAATTTCTTAATCGATCTTGGTTACAAACACAACTTATGCGAATTTGGAACTCTGACGCCCTTTCACGGGATTTTCGAGGCCCTCTATCCAAGCTTCGTGCAGGTAAATAACCGAGGAGGTACCACAACGCACCCTGGCTTTGTTTTTCCCGCAGACGGGTGAAAAAGTCCTCCGAGTTCTCGCTAGAAGACGGTGAGATTGGGGGCTGTGGAGTTCGTGGACTTGACGGACGTGAGTACCGCGGAAGTGGTATTGTTTCCTCTTTTAAAAACAAAATTTTCTATTAGCACCCTATTCCCACATAACAATTTGCAAGTTAGAAGTTCCGTTTGTAAGGCTGGTCAGTCAAATCGGGATAAGTTAGGCATTTTCGACTGAAAAATACATCATTTTGTCGTATTTGGAGAAATCAGTAATGCAAGGAGGTATGTATCGAATCACCATGGTAGCCAATTACACAAGGAAATTTATAAATATTTCGCTTCTTTTCTATCATTTGTTTGTCATATTTCGCCCTCTCAAATTTGAGACTGTTTTAAAAAGACCAATGCCACAAGAAGAGGTAATTCAGTTTGATTTAGCTTGCTCACAAATAATAATAAATCAATTATTTTGTGACGTCTTATAAACCTGAGCTTTGAAAAACCCTATTAGAAGCGTGAAATAGAGACTTAAAGATTACACATAATGGATAAATAAATGTTGCATTTTAAATTCATTGGTCAAACTTTAACTGGCTGCGGGCTGTGAAATTATTCATATTGGCGTCTTGTTGCCTTACTTATCTCGTTAGTAAATGTAGACTTCTGGCACACAAACCAGACCCAAAAATTTCAAAAGCTGTCGTAGGTATTCCATGGTAATTGCACGTTTATTTTATTCTGAGTTGGTGTGGGTGTGGGTTAACGTGTACCAAATTTGAAAACGTCTTTCAACCGACAAATATAGAAATGTTTGCGAACAAAGCAGGTTTGAGCACTTGTGAAACGAGTTCATATAGCGTGTCTAGGCGCAAAAGATGTGTCTGTGTGTGAGCGTGTCTGTTCTAGCGTCGACTTGAGACGGGCAGGAAACCCTCGCTTCCGTTGTTTGACGTGCGAAAATCGCGCGCAGGTCGAAGTGTGTCTACGATGAAGAGGTTAAAAGTTATTAACTCTCGTGACCTACTGTGAACAGCTAGCCTGAATGACCTAGTGTCTGAAACTGCCGAACAAGAGGTCGTTTCGACCGATGTTAGTGCAATGAGAACGCTCGCTATGGTGTGTGATAAAATTTTTCACATTAGAAGACACGAATTTAATTCCGTCATTCAGGTAATGCTAGGACTGATAGATTCGGGCCACTTCTAACGCGACAAATTATGAAGTTTAGGTGCCAAGTAGATGTCTTCTTACTATCTGTTAGGAATTCAGTATCCCATGACTACAGTTGCTAGGATTTATGCAATTTTAAACTTTTCGGTAATACCTGCGGTTTATGCACACCATATTTCAGATTCATATCCCCCTCCTTCTTCCGATTGGCCCATTCACAATTGAGGGTACAAATTCTTTTACACCCCTGCTTAAGGTGCATGTGATCGTGCACTTGGCCTTTGGCTGAGGTGGTGGACGCTCTGCACGCTTCGTCTTTCATTAGCGTGTGGAGGCTGAGTGACAGTGTGGGCTGGCCGACACCGTGCTAACTAGGGAATCAATCAACTGCGCTGGGGGTTTCGCATCTGTGTACCAAGAGCTGTAAAACTAACTTCAAATTTAAGAATTTTAGAATGTTTTACTAAACCAGGTGACATTTACTGCCCCTACTCTGTGAATCACCTTGAAAGTCATACAGACGTAGCCGGCGGTGAAAAGTGATGAAGTCACGAATATGCGTTCCTTCTTGGCTTATTCTCTGTCATGCCACACCAAAATTGGCCTTGACGATTGATTTTTTATTAAAACTAGAGAATTTGTCTCGATCGCAAAAGTAGTCCTTTAATTTACGTTAATCTTTTGAGTTTAGGTGACTTAAATTTTGATGGACCTACAAGGCATTACTTTCGCTGATATCAGTAAACAGACATGAAACAGGGATCATTTGAAAATCAAGCAAAATCACCATGCAGTTAGTTGTTTTAAAAACGAGTTCAAGTGTTAAATGCTTCAAACTATTCACGCCGGTACCAGCCACTACCACACCCTCGAATTTGTAGTCAAAAAGGAAACATTTGCCGAGTGTCAGACTGAAGTAGAAAGTGTAATTTACAATGTTTTGGCCATGTTTTGAATATGACTGTGGTGGTTAGAATATTTGATAAAATTGTAAGCAATCAACGGCACACGAGCTTACTCCACGGCAAAAACACCATTCAAATTCTAGCATTGCACCAGAAGGAATTAAAACCACTCTATCGCAGCTGTGGCGGCGTCTGAGGGCGCAGACATATTGGACTACGCTGGTCTCAGCTAATCCAGAGACAGACACGAATGAAGAGCAGTATATAATCAGCTGCGTGACCAGCCTTGGGGACTCGGATGGACGGCGCCTGACATGTGGTTCTGGCTTGTGAATGGTCAATAAAGCCTGTTCTGTTGTATCAGTCTTCTTCATACTAGGGCTCGGGTATTCTACACTACTCCACACCACGGTTGCCATCATGACAGTTAAATTGAACTACCTCCAAGTCTATCGCCTCATAAATGTTGGAAGCGATTTAGACCAGCATCCAATCGATTAGGAGATACAGTTTTTTCTTTGGATTTACTGTTCAGTAGAGGTTCTACAATTTAACACTTCTTTATACTTTTACTGGTCGCAGGTTTGCTCAGTACTTATGGCTGCCGTGACAATAATGCAAATGCATATTTTTTTAACAAAAAAAACTGTGTGAAATTAATTGGCTGAATAATTACCTGTGTTTAAAGTGTCATCAAGTGCGTTGCCGCCGCCAACCGGAGTGTCCGTGGGAAATGAGCTCGACGAATCCGTGCTGGTTTTGCTCCTTGCCTGAATCTTGATTTCTGGAGGCACTCCTTGTTGTCTCGGCGGTGCCTCTAGAAGTCGCAAACAATGCGTTGGATTTTAGTCAGGAATTCCAGATATCAGAGCCCCTCAGGATCCGCAATTTTGTCAGCAGTTGAGCCACCAGACTCCACACTCGACCTTTCAAATGATCGGTTTCACGAATTCTTATTAAGCTGGGGCTTGTTAAAACATCTCAAGACATGAGAGACGAACTGTAAGCTAAGAAAGCATCCTCATGATTGCCGCTTATTTGCTTGAACTTAAATTTCAATAAATACGCTCAACTAATGCAACAAGGGTTGTATGTTGATTGGATGACAGTGTTTGACAAATCAAGACCCTAAGTCAGTCAGGCTCTTATCGATGTCCACTTTATGGAACCTGTGTGTGACAACGGGTTCAAGGAGGTTCACCTTGGGGATCTGGCGCTATCTGAGGATCAGCTCCACATTGGAATTTGAAGCTGGCGTTCAGCGAAGGGTCTTTGGGTGCTTTTTGGCTCGGTGGCCTTCGACCATCTTCGCGAAACCCAATTCCTGACGTGGGAGGTTGACTTGCATTCGAATCTGGAATGAGTAAATATGCCCATTTACAAACCACTTTACATGTTTCCTGTCTTATAAGTCACATGCGTTTGTAGTGCCTGCTGTGAGCACCAAGAAGCAATTCCGAAGAGATGTGACCTCTTCCAAGAATTCGGGTGTCATAAAAAATTTTCCAAATTCTTTTTAACTTGACATTAATTTTCGACGACTAGAGAAATGCTGATTCGTGCCCACCTTAAGTAAATGCTTAAAGTATATATATATGCTTTAAAGGCTCGAGGATGCAAATTGCTCAGCGCGTGGGCGCCGTCTTTGGTTTATCATGCGAGGTGGTTCAAAATGGACGCGCAGTCTCGAAACAAACTATGCGATAGCAGATAATGATCGTAAGAGGGATGCATAGGCATTCCATGTCATGTATTCGGATTTCGACGCAATCTCTAGATTTATGGGCTTTTCATTCCCTTCAAGTGCTGGATATACTAATTCCTCACTTCACCTATTGGCTAGTAAAAATAGTTTGTCAACCACGCAGCTTCGTTAACTGATTGGGAGTAAATCAGTTCCGACATCCTCAGGACTCCCATTGAGGATACAATGCCAAGGCCACGGACTGACAGAAAGCAACGCCAAACCAAAGAGGCTTTTGGTTATACACAAAGGGACGTCCTTCTGTAGAGCATTAAGACGTTATTAAGACATATAGCCAGTAAATATTGTAAAATGATCTTTGCACGCATTGCCCTACACCGACTATGCACCTGGATAAGGAAAAAATATGTTCTTGGAACGACCACCTTGTGAAGAGTGCGTGGCAATTCAGCAAGGATGAACAAGTGGACATGAAATGTCAGAGATCAGTTAAAGTGCCCCGCAAGAAATGCCGTATAAACAACAGATTCACCTTGTAGGAAGTTCTTTGAGGGCTGTGGACCTGGATGTCTGGGAGTGCGGCCGATGGCCACCGAGCCGTTGGACTCAGCGTTGCTGGGTGTCGACGAATCTAAAGAAGAGCAAACGCGCTTCCTGAACTTAAATACCAAGGATGACGTCCTGGAATATGGACATTTTGTCGAAGATAAATATTACTGTTTACCCTTCTGCAACAAACACCTCCCCTTTGGCCTACGAGAGCAGATTACGGAAATTGCTGAAATTTTGGCTCGGTAAATACCGGTCTCCGTCACACGTATTGATTTGGTTTTACTCATGTCTAAAGACTGACTGGTGTCGGCGCCTTGCCCTTACTTTTCATTGATTGCTATTATCATTAGCTCAAAATAACCACCTAACATGAATATACGCTAATAAACGATCTTTCATGCTGTCGTTTGTCTCCTGTCACTGGCATCTATCTAGCATGGTTGTAGGGTTATGCAAACAAACGCTATGTGTCGCCAAGACTGCAGTTTACTAAATTGTGATGGCTTTCAAGACAATTAAGCCTTCCGCCATAAATCAGGAATTTTAAATAATAAAACATGTCAAGTGCTGGATTGTACCGCAAGACACGGATAGTGTGTAGTCTACTTCTAAATTAAACAGTGAAACGCAAGTCCTGTCAGATTAAGGCTTAAAGTTAACGCCTCCTGCTCCAAAACTGGACACAAACTTAAGTCAAATAGCAAGCTTCCTACCTAACGTTAGACGACAAACGTCAGCGTTTACATAAATGATTGTTACAAACTTGTGGCAGTACCAAACAGCCATGTAATGCGTCTGTAAAACTTGCCGAAATAGGGAATTCCTGCAGGTTTAGTGTAGTCGAATTTAATACGATTTTCTTCAAACAATCCAGGTCCATACGGTCTTTGGGAGGACTGTGGAGGTGAGGCGTAAGCGGCGTCCTGTTTTCGCACTGTTTGGGGTTGTGGCAGACTTATCGAACTCTCGGAAAACATTTCTGAAATCAAAGGTGATATTAGGCACGTTTTGTTCTGTTAGCTCGTGCAAAAATCGCATTTGAATTATGCTTGTGTTGATTGCATCACCAAATTACTGCAATATATCGGGTAACCGTAAGTGTAGCAGGAGACCTTAGAAATCTGGTACCAAAACAACTATGGAACGTAGGTTTTTCTGCATTTGGGCGTCCACTTTCTTCTTGAATCAGATTTTTAGTCATTAAACTGTTTTGCCTCAAAATTTAATTGTCAAATCAACGCGGTTTCTAAAGCCTCAAAATAGCTAGTAACAACGCATTTACAAATGACGTTGGAAGTTGACTTTTAACCTGCAAAAAAGACGTCTGTTGTAGGAATTTAACAGTGCTACTGCCTCTGTGGTTTTGCACAAAATGGGGGGTGATAGTTTAGCATTTGATGCAACACCACTTGACTCCAAATCCAGGTACTCGTAGGTCCTCGTACCGCGTTTTATAAGAATAATAAGGCACAAGCATTAAGCTGAATTCAAATGAACGAAAATCGGTGCTACAATCTGAGCTACGAGGTAACTGAAATTCACCACAAGATGTGACATCTAACGCCGTGAGTTGACCAATTCCTTACCAGAAGATGAGACTGTCAGCAGTGGCATATTTCCATTTGGCGAGCTTTTTGACGCGCCATTCAGACGACCTGAAGCGCCCTGTTTGCTTGCGTAAAGAACCTTCGATGCGCCGTTCATTCGATGAGATGGGAGTTCTAAAGTGGAATACAACGCAGATGGGACGGTTTAAACAAAATGATAATACTTTGTGTACCCTTGTTAACAATGCGTGTAAGCTAGATAACCTCTTTTAAGCAAATTGAACAAAGGTCAGTGTTTTTCAATATTTTGTATGAACGGCTGCTAAATCAATAATGTAAATAATGCGTAAATTCATTGGTTAATTTCAGTAAGAACGCAGAAGTGGTTTGCGAATGCCCACCCGAGTGAAATCCTTTCGTAGGCTGATGTCCGGGCTCGGACTGACGGCGGCTACCTGGGTGTCCATGAGCAGTTGGTGAAAGATGATTCTCGTAAACCAGTTGCACGGGCTCGTGGACCCATCCTCCGTCTGAAAACCACAAATACGCTAGTCAGGAGCTTGAATCTTAGTCGAACAAGTTTGATTCCCGACCGTCGTGAATACACTAGCTCATTTCCTTAAACTAGGCTGTGATGTCTCTCTTTATAACTGAAATTTTGCCTCAAGAGTGACTCTCAATTTTGGTGTCGGAGTACACCATTTTTAACGCCACCAAATGATGTCTCATTGGTTTTAAACGGTGTCCATGATTTGATTCACAAAATGCTTATTTCGCCTTACCATTTTGTCCCGATCGCGAGTGAACGCTGCTTCGAGAGGGTGCCAATTCCGAATCGCTCTTATACGATAATACCCGTGCAGGTGAGATTCGTAGAGGAATTTTGCCTGCAACTAAAAATGAAGCTCAATTTTGCAAATTTAACCGCCCATAAGTGTCTTTTCATGAAACGTACAATCTGATTAAGATATCAATCTTAAGATTTTCCTCATTGAAATGAGACTTACACAAAGATTAGATGTGAGCGGGCTGTTCTAAGAATATGTCTGTTAACACTGCAGACATGTTATTACCTGTGCAGAGCAGGTGATTTAGTGACGATAAATACCTTCACAAACAAGACCAATTTAAATACTCACAGCCTCTAGCCCAACCACCGTATTTCTCCACTACACCACTAAGAGCAGTTAGTTTTCGTTAAATAACCTTGAGAATTAACATGATGGGCTGTACTAACCTGGAAACACATACTGAACCAAGTGAGTTAGGCAAGTGGTTAACAATTTTGAGTGCAGAATGCATGCAGCTATCCTTCTTGGTCATTCTGAAATATGTGGAACTCCTTGACCAAACTTGTTGAAGCGTATTTATCAGCAGAACCGACGGAGTCCAAATGTGGTATAAAGCGCAACCTACCTTGGTAGTGATTGACTGGCCGTGATTTGTGATATTGGTGGCTGTTGGCGGTGAATGAGTTGCTGGTTTTCGGTAAGAGTCGTACGTTGGCGTGACACGCTAAAGAGTAATTTTTGCACTCAATCACAACACAAGTAAACAAGTATATTGCTTCTGTGGGTAAGTCCTTTTATAGCCTAACTTAACTAGCTATTTTTTTGTAAAAACTCGTAAAAAGTAAAGGACGCAGAACGCATGTACAGGGAGATCAACTTTGGATAGAAAGTTAACATACTGCAGTGTCCTTGGTGGAATTGTTGAGCTCTTGCGAGTTGAATTCCACTAATATCAGTATCGCTGCAGTATTGCTGGTTTCGAAGTTGCGGTTTGCAGAAGGGACAGCCTTCAGGCATCTGGCAGAGGCTACCAAGGCACCCGCCTAAGAAACAGCGAAAAAAAATGAGTGCCGAGCAACTATCAATGATAGTAGCCATCCAAAGGAATGGACTTGTGTTTTCTCAAACGTTAGGTAATTTCAGAGGGGCTAACGCTTTATTATTTTACTCACAAACATTATTTTTTTGCAATTTTTTTATTCCATACATTAATTGCGTTGATTCCTTGGCAAGGGAAGGATTTACTTCTGAGACTAGACTACCTTGATAACAGTCACAATCCAATGAATTATCTAGTTATGCTGAAAATTTGACCATTTTACATCGTTCGCGGTGGCAATTTTAACCAATTTTTCTAGCATCTTCATTAAAAAGCGCAAAATTAATTGAAAAATCGTGCGTTGGAAACTGCTTTGAGCTATTCTCATGAGGCTGGAATATATTTCGAAACAATTTACATGAGTAAAAGCGTACAGCGTATTAATTTAGGCGCAAATAGATTTGGCGACTACCGCCAAATCAGCGAATATTTATTGAAGATCAAAATTTACCGATGTTTTTGCACAAAAATGTCTGTAAAAACATGTTTAACCAGTTAAAAAGGAGTACTATTGATCTACTTTACCGTTACTTATTCATCTACTGCCATTTTAAATACAAACGCACCTCAGTCAAGACTACAGATTTCCAGCGTTCTCCCTAGATGAACTTTTAATGACGAACGGTCAGATCGCTAGAAAATTACGCAAAATCCTCTTTCTTATAACCTGTCTTGAATTAGCTTCAAGTACAGACGAGTAAAATTTTTATTTGCTAAGAGTAAAAATGTGTAGCAAAGTAAACTGGCGTGCGTGAATGTTCCAAAATTTAATTGAGTAGGATAGAATTAATAAAGTTACTCTGATTCTCAGAGTTTTGGCGACAAAGTACAGCGCGTTCAAGAGTAAATGAAGCACAAAGTAGACAGGAATTTGCGCTCATGAAAATTGCCAAACTTGCCTGGCTCCGGAGCTCCGATGCAGTGCAAATGGCATGCAATGAAATGAGTGCCACAAATCGGTGGATTGACTTCATTCGGAGATAGGAGTTTGGCTGGAATGGGATACAAGGTCTCCTGACGCTTTTTGTGGTGGTGTTCACCTAGAATTACCGCAAAGACGCCAAGTTTAACTAGCCGTGGGAACACGCCCTCTGCATCGAATCAAACCGCTGGCATGGGAGATTAGGTGTCACTCAACGTGAATAAAGTAATTAGGATCGGGCTCAGTAAAACTTCACGCACAAAGGCCTTTCTTGTGCCAATTTGTAAAATGCTAGCTCAATAAGGCGTGCTATTGAACCGCAGATATTCATTTGCAAGACGTTGACTTCTTTTTGATAATTTGACGCGTTTAAATTTAAACAACGAATCTCAGAGTGACGTGATTATATATATTTTGTCTTTTCAGAAGGAAGAAGACGGCAAGTTTAATTATTTACCTTTAAATGCGCATCCTCTGATATCATGTCAGCTACAGGAAACGGAACTGATTCCATCCAATCAGAAAATAAGCCCAAGTAAATCAGCGAGGTCACCAATTTTTTAAAAAAAACCTATTTGTTAACCACTCAGTGGAGGAAAACTAAATTCAATTAAAGGAGTTTAACTCACACGAGTCACGAATTGGACACATCGTTCACAGTGCCTCTTTATCTCGGATATCATAGTCACGTGGTCTGACAAATAAATCGGATCAAACAAATGTGCTGGATATTGTGATTTCGATTTATCGAATAAAAAATAATGATTCTGACCTGCCACCTTTAACAGGGTTAAAAACAGGGATCTTGTGTTCAAGCTTAGCAAAACTCAAAGTAATTAACGATTACTTAAGTTGTGACTCCTGGACGGTACCAAGCGGTGGTGGCTTCTCTGACAGAAGAAAAGCCCTCGTTGACCCTGAACACCACGACAACGGAAACACATAACGTCTGAGGACATCGGCAAGGTGAACTGGATGCTGAGTCCAGTTCGTTCACCCGGGAAGGCACGTGTTATTTTGCCTTGAGCCTGAATTTAAGCTTTTTATTGCCGCTTGATGATTACTTAGTCCTCAAAGCCAATCACGAAATGACATGTACTGACTTGGGTTATCAGGTGTGGATCAAAGCTCTCCTCTTTGCACTGCCAACTACAGTGTTTCAACCAATCAAATCGTCTTGTTTGCGTAGGTGGAGCTATCAACGCTGTACTAGTGGATTTTGCCTCCTTCGTGCATTCTTTTAAAGTCCATTTTGGGAATTTCTAACCGACGCATCACAGGATCGCATATTTGTGAAAAAATCGCCTGTTAAACTTATGAGAAAGTGCTAACTAGCACAAAAATTAACTATCAAATTACTTGTTGATACTTTTTTAAAATGTCGTTATTAACCCAAGACGATCGGGAACTTATGAAGTATATTTGATAGTTTAATTTCCAAAAGTTTTAATTTCGGTTCGTTTTAGTTATAACAAATTCGAAACTAACTCTCCAACTATGCAAATTAATGCAAATTACCCAAATTGGTTCTCATTAAAGCCTGGAAAACGGTCTTTACTTCTACTTAAAAGTAAAATAACTAAAACCTTTTGGCAATTAAATAATCAGATCTATTTTTTATCACTTTTTGTAATTAGAAAAGTTAATTTGTGATATTTACTCTGGTATTTTCTAAGATTCAGCAACAAGCAGTTTTTACAGCGCTAGTCCCTTGAAAATATCTGTGAATCAGTCATGATTTTGAGTTAGCTGCAGCGCTGAAATTAAACCAAAGGGATCACGAATTTGATTTAATTTCAGCGCATCTGAGCTTCTATCGAAGCCGCACATGATTAGCTATTGCTCAAGGGGGTAATTTGAAACGGACGATGGAACAAATCAACCGAATCTCCCAGCTCCCTCCCCTACCGAGAATAAGGGGGAATTCATCATGAGCCTGGGTGCTCAAACACAACATTCTCAGTACCTTAAGGGGGAAAATGATCTCTTAAAGCAACGGTCAGCTCTGGTGATGGTTTTTATAGAAATTATAGCGACATGCGACTACGACCTAAAAGGAAGTTGTTTGGGCTGAATATGTACGTAAACGCATGTTTGAATCGTGGGTGAGCAAACTGGGTGAGGTAGCGGGGATCAGAGGGGTTGTGTGAGTAATTAGAGGGAGGGACTATACATACACACGGATGAGCAGCAGGCTCGTTCTGAGTGTAGTGATGAGTGCGCATTGAAAATTTTTAAAAACGAAAGCTGAGAGAGTGACGCGGTAGCGTAGTCAACACTACCTGATTCTACCTCTAGGCTGCATCTTGTCGTAGTTACATGTGGAGGTGCCATGGCCAAAATAGGGCAACTTTTTAGTTTTATCTTTGTTAAGTTTTACGGTGAGTGTCCTATGCTCGTTTTTGCCATAAAACCTTTAAAGTTCTTATCCGTTGTACAAATTGGTTTAATTTAGACTCCAAGCCCAAGGTTAGTTTCCGTTGGCACTCAAGATCCCGTCTCTATTAGCAGCAGAATTAAGAAGAAAAAGTTTGTGTGTTTAAGGCGAAGGATCTGTTAAAAGTGCACACAGGTCCACACCAATGAAATTGACAGGCAAATCCAACCTTGATGGATAGATATAACTTTCGACGCTGCTGTCAGCTTGACGCCACAGCGACAAAATTTTAAAAAAAGTGACAGTAGTCGTAAAAATTATAGGAAGTCTAAAAATTAACTTATTTTCCAATGCTCAGCAGTTTTGAGCCAGTCACATGAATACACGTGACGACTTTCATTCATTTTTTGTAAAACCTGGAGCTGACTTCACATTTGGTTTCAGAAATATTGCAGTCTCTGCTGTTGATCAAGTAAACTAGTTTGAGCGTGGCAAGGCTGTATCTTATATTGAACAACTTACGGTGTTCGTCAGAAAACGTGGATGACCGGCTTACGGCGGTGAAGATGTCTTCAAGAGAACCTCCTGAACGAGCCTTGGCACCCGGACACCGAGGAAAACAGCCTTTGGACGCTTTTTCCCCTTTGGGCTGTTGAAGGTTGCAGGAAATAAGAAGCTTTTAACACCACTCACTAAGCGTTCTAGCCGCTTTACTTATGTGCTGTCTGATTAATGCAAAAACCAGCCATTTCTGTGTGTCAAGGAGTGTACCTGTTCTCCTGCTGGCTGAACACTGCTGCCAACTATTAGACCCACCTTCAGTGACCTTGAAGGCCTGCTCCTCAAATCTTATTAGTGAGGATTAAAAGGTGTATGACTCAGTAGTATTTCTACAGGATATTGAATCGCAATATACAACTACCGACAACAGTCGACTGTGGTTAACGTGTTCGGAACCAGGACGCATTGTTCAATATGGGAGTGTATAAGCATAACCCAAATCGATATTATCGATTTTGCTTTTGATAGTGTGTCTAATAAAATGGCGGGATATAACTTGGTGGAGCAGTACAAAAACGACCACCGGCTCCATTTTGGATCTGTTTCTTGACTTTATGCCACTATGAAGCCTAGAATTTTCGCCCTTAAGTTGATAGTATTCAGAAGCATTAATTATGATTTACTAATTCTACCTCAGTAGCAATGCTAAACGAGACCCGTGGAGCATGTGAAGCATACCACGACAAAAATACACTTCCTAGGCGTTGTGTTGATATGTCGAAAAATCTTGTAATTTTTCCCATCGCATTTGTCGTGGTCCGAGTCCCCACAGGATGGCTAGTATTACATTAGTGAAAGGTGCACTAAGTACGCTTCATTTCGCTGACTCGTGAACGTGTGAGCCTAAAATGTTTCCGGAGTTAAAAAGATCAGCTAATTGGATGAAGTGAGAACTAGGGTAGGCTCTTAATGAGTTCAAGACCTCGAGTTAACAGCTACATTCACATTAGTTGGTAAACGTCTTGTTAGCTTTAACGCTTGAACATTTTACGCGTTTGAGCGTATCTAAACCCTTGTGTAGGGTGGAGTGGACCAATCAACGCCTGTGAACCTTCACCATTTGGGTAACATGTCTACACAGTGAGAGATAAATTTGAGTACGAATGAACCAAAACAGGAAACAGAAAAGTAGGACAGTCACACTATTCGGGAATAGAGTGAAGTCTGACACCTAAGAATGTTTATTTATATTTCATCCACAATGGACCGTTACAAACGCTCCAAGAAATATTTTCTTGTTCGCACTGAGCTTGTGGTGAGTCGTGATGATTTACGTTCATCAGGTACACATTCATGCACACCGCCCCCCGCCACCCCGCTCCAATCACTCACGTTTGATCAAACACCACTGCGCGCACATCTCGCCTGCCACTCCCTCTTTTACCAGTTCACTCTAAATCTATTGGCCGACGCCCTCCATTAGTCATCCACGAAGTTGCACGCACGCACGCACGCACACACACATGACAAAATGCAACAGGACCGGGCCACCTTAGAAACGGTTGTCTCCGTCATCTTTGGTACTTTTTACTCTCCGCACAGCGTGACATGAAGGCAGGAACCTTTTAAACCCGTGAGGAGAGATCAGACTGACCTAGTTCCCCATGGGAACAGAAGATATCAGGTAATGAATACAATTTCAATCCACTTATGGACAAATTTAAGTAGCATTGTGGGCGAATTCGATCAATGCAGTGTCTACATGGAAGCAAGACACACGAAGCCACATGCACACCGAAATTAACCGAGATACGCACGATAAAGGGTACACGCAATGCGTGTGATTGCGATTTTACGGCCAAGATGTTCACTTTAAAACATGGTAAACCGGACAATTTGTTACGGTTGATGAAGCTAAAACGTTAGCACATCTTGCTTGTAGTGCTTATTTGAGCAATTCCTGAAACCCTGTTTTCCTGTTTTGGGGCTTTTAATAGAACAAGGGAAGATTCTTAGCACGAAAAAGACTTACCAAGGACGCATAGCATTGATGGAGAACGCAAAACGGCAGACTGGGTCCGGCCTCAACGAAGGTTGTTTTGGTGCCGGCCGAGTCGGTAAGACTCGATGCTTTCCCATCCGTCTACAGCAAAGACAACACTTCAATGCATTGGTGCTTAATTTTAGGTGCATTTTGATGGCTAGAGTGACAACCGAACAAGTGGAAGGCATCTCTCACTTCGAAGAACCTAGCTGATCTCTGCAGATGCAACTTTTGGGCACAATTAATGTCAATGGTGACCTCATTTTATGATCCACAGGAGAAATTGAGAACAAATTCAAAGTCTTGACTTTGGAAAATGTTATGAGGTAGGTGGTCAGACAGCTCACAACGTTACTTAGAAGCACTTGGACAATTAGTAGGTAGGCGTTTTGGTTGGAAGTAAAAGAGTGAAATTAAAGTTTGCCTCTTCTCCCGCTCGTTCAGAGTAGCATCTTGCATGACATGAAAACGTTTGTCGGTGAATGTTTGTTTTAAGAGATTACCGAACCTATTGTGTGCGAACACTTATGGATTGCGATATCTTTCTCAGCTGCGACGGGATTCCTATGAGATAACTCCAATAAGGCAATCTTGTGTCTGAATTTCGACACTGGCTTTGACTAGACATGGGACTCCATGCATAATTGTTAATGGGTGAGTGGCACTGGAAGCAGCCAGGAGACCAACCACTACTTTCTCCGTACTCTTTGATGGCCGTCGTTGTCATAAACTCACCCTCCTCTTGTATCTAGATCAAAGTGTCCATTTTGTGGAAGTTAATTAGAAAAGGAGATCAGCGTAAGTAGGTTTTTTATTCTCATACCTTGATGACCCTCAAAACTAATGCTTTTTTCACTGTTTAGCTCATGATATTTGCCAGTTAAAAGTGCGTTTTTGACTACTGTGATTGCCCGTCACTGTGCAGTTGCCGAGTCATCGTTTTAGTACCAGGGTAAAATAAATTTATACTAACAAAATTATATTTTAGACAACATCGCGATTAGCGTTGCTGGGTTATTTTGACCCGGTTATTTCCCGTGGGGCTGCAGACATCAGTAAAAATTTATTTTTTTAGTCCAACAGCATGTGAATACTTTTCTACAGGAGGGGAACGAAAAATGTGTGCGGTTGTTTTTTTAATATTTCAGCTGATGTGTTCCTCTGGGATCGATTTGCTGAAATATGTTGGAATCGTGCATCAGGTTTTCGAATGCATTTATAGCACAAGAAATCATTTCACATCGCCACACGGAAATGGCGAGTACGTGACTGCTTGGCTCAACCATGAACAAGCGTGAACACGCATATTTAAAACTGATTTTCAACTAACAGGGCAATAATTCTGAACAGACTTTTCCACTTCGTGTACACAGTTGACTACAACTTCCTCTGGACTAAGGAAATATCTTATGCTTGGTCCTCTGCGTTTTAAGTACAGTGAATATCACAGTCATTTTGGCGACGACGTTAGTGGTGCAGATAACGCAGTGGTAACCTACATGATATCCTTATAGGTGAGCTAACTAACAGAAAGTTCTGTGGTTTAATAAACAACAAATTTGAGAAGACCATCAAAAGAATCGCTAAACTATCCGTGATTGTTAGAAATCATTGACATCATTTACTAGCCCATAGAAGATGGTATCTGAGCTAAGAACAATGTGACTAGATAACATCCAATCGAACCATTTGAGTTAAACACAATTACTTCTGTAAAAAAATTCTTTTCGATTTGGTTTTGTATGTTGTAACTGTCACGCAATCAAGTTTAGCTAATGCCAGAAATAACTCAAAAGTCAAATCAATTTAATGTGAAATTGAACTTAATTGAATACAGTCGCAAAGTTTTAACTCCCTTCCGCCTTTCGTCGCTTTAAATTATTATCGCTTGAGGGTTGTCAGAAAAAACGTTGCATTATAAATTAGATGATTACGCCGCTTCACTGAAGGAAGGAGCACTTGACTTGACAGGTAGCGGGTGGCTTCTAACCTGTGCAACGCCTCAGTTCATCAGTCAATCAAATTTTGAAAAAAAAACGTTTCACTGTCGGTCTCGCAGACTTCAAAGGTTATCTGGCAACGATAGCTAATCAAGTGAATCACTAGGATTTCTTCTTCACTTAACACTGGAGTAATGACCTTCGCCTTATTCACTAAAAAACCTCCAGTCAGCTATGTGCTTTCGCCAAAGAATTCGGAATGCACGCAGTTGTCGTTGACGTGGAACAGGTTCGAAAGTTGACGTATCATATTTAAATACAGCTCACAAATTGACCGCCAGGGTGCATTAATCATTTTGAGAAACGGCATAAGCCTCGAAATGCGATTTACCTAAGGCTGGGCTTATTAATCAAAAGGAGATTGATGTCGATCTTGGAAATTCTGTTCTCATGTTTGAAGGAAACAGTGCATCAGTTCAACTCTGATGTGAACTTTCGTGGGTGCCAAAACTACTCCAACAGCTAGTCAGGGTCGCTTCATTAGCGTTAATTACGGTCGCGCAATGACACTGCACGTTTGGATCCGTCACAGCACTAAACCCCACATCTGAAGCCCAGTTCGTTAATTGCATTAGGCACCGGATCCATGATTGCATTTGCTCAACAAGCTATTGTGATGGTGCTTGAGCACTGGGAACGCAAATGCGAGTTGTGGACTCTTCGTTTTGGAGATAAAATTGCGCAAATTAAATAGCTGAAGCAAACGAAGGAATCGCACCAAACCTCGCTGTCCCTTCTTGCAAAATCGTTGCTGTTTGGTGACCTGCAACGGTCTCTGCATGCGACTTCCTCTGTCTTGAATAATGTAATGCATAATTACATTTTTTCAAACTTGAGGCCTTGTGATTTTTGTTGATAAAACACCTGCTCGAAGATAGTGCATATGACTGGGGTTGCTTATTTTTTCCTGGCTTTTAACTGGGCAAATAAACATGGTGAGTTTGTCTTTTTTCAAAAAAATTAAGTTTAAATCACAAATTATAAAGCAAGGAGGATTATGGGTCATAGTAGAGAGCAAATCCCATTCTTCCTTAAGTGTGTTAAAGCCTTCTTTAAATTAATTTGCTAATATATGCCAAAACAGATTCTTTTGCCCTGAAGTAGCTACGTAACAGTGCTAAACAAGGTTATTTCAACAAAAAGACGTTACGTATCCCAGCAATTTTAAACGAAAAATATTACCCAGTCGTTCCTTTTTGCTTTGAAGAGATCTTCCACCTTGGTCATTGCGATTGACACCTTTTAGAGCGAAAAACAGAACGCTTTGAATACTGGGAAGGATACAGTGGCCTGCAATCGATGCCTGAGCCCCCTTGTAACACCACAAAATATAGTTGGAAATTTAAAAAAAAGTTAATTATAAACATGACATGCGGCTGCACAAAGTTCGATTTTACTTTGGAGCTACATTTCTGGACTGGGTAAACTAATCCTGCGGAAATATATCTTCAATTAATGGGATAAAGCTGTCTAGCCTGCCTGTCTAAGTGGCTTTCCGACCGACGTGAGTGGTTTAATGAAATCACTTGGTCGTCCGTGCCTGAAGTCGGTCAGCTGCCGCATTTTGGGCCATTAAATCTAATGCAGTGAATAAAGTTGAGTAGGCGGATATGCAAAACCTCATTTCAACTATCTACTTCAAAGTTTTTTTATAATAATACTGGAGGAGACGTGATATCAGGCATGAAGGCTACAACTACTAACCACAACTTTTGACGTATTTAGCAAATACCAACTACTCGCTGTTTACGTCGTCGCGACAACTTGTATACGGTCGAACTGAACTGAGTTATTGCAGGTATTAATTACGTGCGGAGTGAAGGGAGGCGTTTCTTTTCAACCAGTTCAGTGTGCGTCCATTTCTACACATCTATTTCTACTATTGGTTTTTGCACGCGAGTTACCGTAGGGAGACAAACTGTCACATCTCTGGCTTTGATCTCAACTCAACAATCTTGAGTCAGGGCAGGAAAAGTCAGTTACTGCTTTTAAGGTAGATTAATTGCTACGGTTGTAAATTGCGTTAAATAACACCATGGTTTGTGGCTTCAGAAAAAAGCCACATCGTGCTTTTGATCTAATGCCACAACTCAAAGGGCTACCCATGATGGTGCCACAGGAATACCTATTTAAGTGTCTTTCGTTAGTAATGCGTTTTTAGACCCGTTGTGGTCCCTTGGTCCATTAGCACACCCACGGAAACATAACCACCAAAAGCATAGATATCGTAAAATCGTCTAGACATCAACATACTATTGAACTTCAGCATCTGATATTCAAATATCGGAACATCTCCAAAAGCAACCTTGAATAGTGTGTAAGTTGACTTTATTTTAAACTCGGACACTTCAAAACCTCGAAATCCGTTACGATGATTTTTTGGTGAACTCTTCCACGGCACAACAGTAAAACGACACTGTAACTGCTTGAACGAAAATTCCTACAGACCGGCTTTACCCGGAATTTTCCCAGCTGTCACAAAATCTGGACAGAGGCCGATAAATTCCATCCCATTGCCGCAATCACGGCTGGGTTCCAGCTGCAGTAACTCAGAGCTCTTGGTTTAAAGCGAAGCGTTGCTAACGGTGGTTGTAGGCTAATACAAAGGGGCAGAGCACTTTATTAGAGCTAATATTAAAACAATGCGGTGATTGGGTTTTGACACAGACTTGAGATGTGATCATATTTTCAAGGGCATATTTGTACCCAGACGATGTCGTTAGGACCGAAGGTCGCATATTTCAATTCCGCTTTTCAAGTAAGTGGAAACAAAATTAAACGGTGTCACGAGTACCACGTTGCTAAAAATGGTTAACAGCTGTTATTAATTACAAAAGGTGGATTACATGGTCGTATCTTGGATACTGCTACTGATTTTATAGGTACATAAAATGCTACATGAACGCACCTCACACACGAGGATAAGATATGTAAAAAAAACTATAAGGAAAGCCACTCACTAGCTGTTTCGGGCGGCAAACTTTGTGTGAATAAGGCGTTTTGTGGAGATCTGGGGGAGTGCTGCAGGTTTTCGATTCGGCGTTAATTACTAACGCTTAACACTCGCCTGCCTAGCCAACGACGTTGCCTGAAAGCCATAACGTACGCGCCGTTTCAGCAGGAGAAGCATCAGAGCAAATTAAGAAGTGTGTGTGTGCGTGTGTGTGTGTGTGTGTGCGAATACCCAC